GTACATTTCTTTGTGCCTGTCACTGGCACAGCTTTAATCTCTCCGCCTCTCTGGCTCCATGACACCAGCCACTCTCCACCCAACCCCCCCTCCCAGCTCTCTATTTTAGGCAGCTGCACCTGCTGTTCACACAGCTCATTCTGGAAACCAACAGATATTTAGGATTTGACGGCCAGGAAAAATAAAATTGGCCTACATTGCACTGACTCGATAATGCAATTAGTGGCTTGCTGACCAGAGGAATATTCAAAAATTCCCTTTGAATTACCTCGGCTCAAAACGTCATGCTCAGCTGTTTGTGTTTTTATCTGCAAATGCTTCTGATTCATTCATACCCTTATACCCGGGCACATGCCAGTAAGTAACAAATATCGTTTCAGTAAAAAGAGTTGTCTGTCTGTAAACTATCTATTTTGTAATTCTATTTCGTTTATGTCTTATTATAGTTTCTGGCAGCTGACTCTGCTAAATAAAATTCTGATATGTTTGAAGATTTGACCAACTCTTAGATATCAGATGATCTGATCTGATAAAATGAATGCAATACATTTTGGTACATAATGCCAAAATTGTAATATATAAGTAATGTTTCCTAATTTAAACAGAGGTATGTAGAAAGAAAGAATTTTGGTGTTAGCACTCTAATGCATAGTGGCATAAACAGGTTTCTGACATCCCAAAATTTTAAGTGTTAAATACAACGTTGAGGAAGGTGTGCAAAGTATTTTTTGGGGCTTTTATTGCCTTTATGATAGTGACAGCTGAAGACAGACAGGAAAGGGGGGCAGAGAGAGGGGATGACACGCAGGTCGGATTCAAACCCTGGGCCGCTGCAACAAGGACTCAGCCTCGGAACATGGGTCACCAGCTCTACCAACTGAGCTAACCAGGCACCCCCTCAGGATTTTTTGTAAGCCATATTCTTGTTGCTATTCTATAGAGCTTAAAAATTTGTTTAACGGGTCAGTTCACACCAAGACCAAAAATACATATTTTTTTACCTCTTGCCCGTAGTATTTTTTATCCATCTAGATTGTTTTGGTGTGAACTGCTGAGGTTTGGAGATGTCGAACGTAGAGATGTGTGCCTTCTCGCGAATATATTGGAACCAGATGGCAATTGGCTTGTGGTGCTCAAAGAAAAAATTGATTAAAAAACAGTAATGTCTCATTCCACAAATCATGACCTATGAACTATTTTATTTCTACGTATCACTGCTGGTTCCGTTATATTCCAGAGAAGGCAGACATTTTTATGATCAATATCTCCAAAACTCAGCAACTCACACCAAAACAATCTAGATAGATAAACAGCAGGTGAGAGGAAATATGTATAATTTTGATTTAGGGGTGAACTGTCCCTTTAAGACAATCTGTATTGTGCCTGTGTCACAGTTTGTGAGTTTGTAGTGTTGTAAAGGTGGTGCAGTTTCAAAAAATTTATCTCACACTGTTTGCACCTTAAAGACAAGTCCGCAAAATATCATAGACCATTGGACAAACTGACAATCCGACCACAGCATATGACAGACTTAAGGATAACGTTTCTGTCACGTTCTGTTTCTGAGTTACTGTGTGCACAAGAATGTGTCTACAGGCATGACACAGCAACAGACTGACAGACAGACTGACTGAAAGACAGATGTCACCATGACAACATGAGGCTTGGAGCTGAGCGTTTATCCAAAATAAAAAAAGAAGATTTGCCATTAAGAAATTTAAAACAACTTAACTTTTCAAAAATCTGATTAAATGTTTTGAAACCAGCATCTGATAATAAACATTGCTAGTACTACTTAAATAGTTCCCACATGGACTGAAGTAAGCAGGTGCTGAAATGGGCCAAGCTTTGAACCTGTTAATCCTCGTGCAGTAAATATAGAACTCAGCTGAGTTCAGGGTGAACATAAACAGGCCGAGAGTGACTTTATGACACATAGTTAACATATTTTACTTTAGTGCTGTGTTTCAGGCCATGAGACAATGACAACTGCAAACATGTGTTTTTTAGATTTATGTAGCTTCTAGATTCATGTGTAAAAGAAAAAAATTTGAATTTAAATGTGCTCATACAAGTATTAAGTAAAACCACTGCAGTCACACTTAAGGATGTACAACTTATAATCAAATGGCTACAAGGAACTTATAATGCAGTCTATACATAATCAGTATCTGGCCTACACTAACATAAGGGCTAGAGTTACCAGGGTCTAGAGAATCTCAAGTGAAACTATTTGGAACATCTACAATAGCTGAGTATCAACGCTGACTATCCAAATAGAGAGTGTTACATACAGTAGACTGCTTGCAAGGCCACAATGCCCTTCTGCAGGCTTTGACACAGAGATCTAAACAGGAAATCTGATAGCTAGATAGAAGAGGTGAGTAATACAGCAAAAATAAACTGATTTAAACAAAATATTTTAAAACGTAACATTATTACATCAATTAAAATAATTTAAGTAAAAAACATATATGTCAGGTAAATGAAATGAAACTTAAATCTTAAATTTAAATCTCCGTAAAAAATATATTCATATTTTAAAAATGCACACTGTAGTACAACAAAGACCTGAGAACAAAGTCGTGGTGGAGTCATCCAATACACCCATACTAAGTCTTGGTTCGGGACATGGTCATCAAGCACAGTATGCAAACAATTATTGCTTACAAATGGTTACATACAAGACTATCTCACAAACAGCAGAGAATGAGTAGACGACCTCTATCGATAACAGCAATTTATTTCCAAGAAATAACTAAATCAGTTCATATTACATGATATTTGGGTAAAAAAAGTCCCTAAATGACCCTTTTTCTAAAAAGTTAGTTATTTCTTATGAGATAAGGGACTAGTCTAAATTCTTAAATTAAAAAACAAACAAAAACAGGACCATATATTTAATTTGGAACAGCATCAAGCAACAACAAGAGGTTGGAGGACTGTGGTCTCCACCATGTCAACATTATTCTGTTGTAGATATTCAACCTACCAAAGCCAAAATAAACATCTACGTTCCCATAAAAGCACCAGGCATGATACAGTTGACTGCAGTCGTTCACACTACCATTCACTATCAATGAATTATTAGTTCCAGCATTTGTCATCAAATGAGTCTGGCTGCCTCCAGTCTTCCTTTAGGATGGATCTGTTTGAATTCACAAATCTAAACTAAAACACCTAAACTGAGCTCAGTCTTTTTTTAGTGGATTTTCACTTTAAAGATTCAACCCTGAGGTTTTTGGGTTTTTTTTTTAGGTCTGGGAAGCCATTGTGATCTTGAGCTTTGCCTCAGTCACAGGTGCAAAGTTCCGCTTAAAGCAAGAAACCCCAAATACAAACAGAAAACAAAGAAAATATTTAAGAAATATTCAATTGTCTTAATTGCCATCAAAGTAAATATGGTGATATCAGTGTCAAAATGTACTAAAATTACATTCATGTAACTTTATGTAATTGCTTTCTATGTGTTAACTATCATCTGCAGTTTTCTTCTCTGTGACAAAACAGTAACATATCAAGTAACCATTCGGATATAAATAGATAACAATGCCGACAAAACCAGCCACCTGTCCTTGTCTATCTGTGCTCAGGCTATGTAAAGATAGAACCCATCAAATAAATGCTTGTCTATTATCTATTATGAAGTTACAACTCAATAAACAAAGTGCTCATTATTGTACATTACTGACTAAGTTTAGTAATAGTTGTAAACTACTTGAGAAGAGGCAGACAGCATCACTTACCGTACGCAGGAACTGAATCTCTTCCTCTCCATCTGCACCTTCTGCCATCCTCCCAAGGCATTAAAGGCAAAACCTTGAGAGAAATGGGAAAATGTTTGTCTCTCAGCTCTGTAACTCCTGGTGCATGTATGCCCACCACCTAAGGCAAGACAATGTTGGTGAAGGCTTCTGAAGGGCACTGTGGGTCCTGCCTCTCTCTGGCAGTGCTATGAGGCAGAGGGATTGACTGTTCATTCTTGGTCATTACAGCATCATGAAGAGGTGGAGCAAGCTGAAAAGGCTGAACCAGCAGTTCAAATGGTTATGGGGTCTAGACCATTATTGTGCACTGTGTTGTTACATTATAAATGATTGTACTGAAGTAAGATTTTACATTTAAGCATGAACTACCATAGTGCCATAACAGGTGTGTTGGAAAAAGGGTCAGATTTCAATAACAGAGTGAGTTGGCAGTGTTTTCCCAGTGTGAAGCTTCAACCTTAGGACTATGATATGTATCATCTGCATGCTTTTTTAATTTAGTTTTTCCATTATTTGTTTTTATTATTCATTTAATCTATTGATTGGAACATTATTTCTTTAATTGTTTAACACAACTGTGAATTGTGATTGTACCAGGTTACAGGGGCTGGGGGACACCTGTATGATAAAATTAATATTAGGTTGTGTTGTTAACGTTTATCTGTGAACACAAAAAAAAACATAAAAAAAAACATTGTTTTACTTATGATTTTTGAATGGATATTTAAAGACAACACTATTGTATCTATTGTATTTATTAGTTATATTAAGGGTTATTAACTATTCATATGTTTAACGTTATATTCTTATTGCAAATACATTGCAATTTTAATTAGACTAAGCTAATAGCAATAAAAAAAAGCATAAAATGCAAATGTGTATGCATATCTAACAAGCATGAATGAAAAAAGTACGGCTAAGTAAGTTACTCAGCACTTATAAACATTTCATCTCTGGAAATACAGCCCACCTGTCGGGTGACGTAAAACAAGCGTAATGTAAAAAAAAATCAACTGCGTCTCCTAGCAACAGGGCTAGTTTAGCTGTAGCCTTTTAGCTACTGACTGTGTTCGCTTAAATAAGAACGATGCTCTTCTCCGGCTCGGAGATATTTTAAAGTACAACAAGCGCCAAGTACAGTGTGTAGAGAAACGAAGTTATATTAGTGTTGTGTGTATAATTTTACAGTTTAATCAACGTGAATGATACCTACTCATTTTCCTGTGGAGGGCAGCAAAGCCCGCGAGCCCGGCGACGTCAGATGTGATCCGTAGAAGAAGAAAACGGTACGTCGGCAAAATACTTCCTTCTTCGTTTCCAAAACACAAAGCAGTGTCAGGTAAGAGCTATTGACGTTATTAGTCTTCAACCAGCGGCATTAAGTTACTAATAATATGCATTTTTGCCAGTATGCTGTACAGAAATAGTATGTATGCGTTGAAAGGTGAAACATGAATCTAAACTTTGTAACTAGCCCTTTTGCTAACTTAGCTAACGTTAGGTAGCGTAGCTCGCTAAGTAGCCCCGCGGTTACTGTACAAAGTGGCTGATGTTTTGACATTGGTTGGTCGTTGTCGTATGTAGCACTCACCTTCGAGGCTCTACCAGAAGTATACGCTAAGCTCAGCAACATTTGCAATTAAATGACTGGAAGCAAACGCATTAGTTGGCGTATTATTTCAGACTTTGTAGTCATCTGTGTTTTTCTATGTGAAAGAGTTAAAGGTTGGCACTGAGGAGAAGGATGGATGCCCTCACCCACATGCTAACAGACCCTCTTGATCCAAAAGAAGAAACCGATGGACAAATCACAGAGGAATGCATGCTGGGGAACTGTAGAGTCAACCTCCCAGAGGACCTACTTGAGGACGTGAGTTACCTAGTTTTCCAGTGAAGAAATGCTGTTCTTTGCTGCTTTGTTTGAGTGTTTACAGGTGAAAGACACTATGCAGATTATGCATTCATTTTTGATTTTGTGTTTTTTACAACAGCCTGAAATTTTCTTCTCTGTGATGAGTGAAAGCACCTGGAATGAAGTACTGTCAGATTCACAGAAGCAACACCTCCGTCAGTTTTTACCACAGTTCCCTGACAGCAATGTGGAGGAGCAGGACAGCACCATCAGTGACCTATTCAACAACATAGATTTTAACTTTGGAAATCCTCTTCATCTTGCACAAAAGCTTTTCAGAGGTGCTTCCTAGTTATCGACTTACTTTCCCACCAATACACAATTTTTAAATTAAAATTTTAAAGAATTTTTCATTTTAAAGTATTTTCTGATCATAACTCTCATTATCTCAACCTAGATGGTTACTTTAATCCAGAGGTGGTCAAGTACAGACAGTTGTGCGCCAAGTCCCAGAAAAAGCGACAGTTGTACTCCGTCCAGCAGTATTACCACAGACTGTTGAAGCAGATCCTTGTCTCCAGAAAGGTATTTTTTGTCAAAGTTTTAACTACAAGGTGTGCATGTGGCCTTTTGCAGTTAGTCTTAATGTGTCCTCTTGTTGTAGGAGCTGCTGGAGTTTGCGGTTCACAATGGTATGGACTTTCCTCCGAAAAGAAAGTTACCATCCAAGACTCACGCTGAAATGCGGGAGCCAAGGGTGAGAAGAAGGTTGAGTCGCATCTTAAAGGAGGTCAAAACTGAGTGTGGAGACAGCAATGCTTCATCTGATGATGATGGTCAGTCTTTCATTGGTATCACTGCCGATAATAATACCTTTTATTTCAAAAGGAGATGCTGATGTAGGCAGTAGTATAGCAGCCAATATTAAAATATGCAATGTGAAGGCAAATTTATAAAACTGATCATACCTGTGCTCTTGCATGTCTGCTTCCTCTTCTACTTCTTCTTCTTCTTCTTCTCCTTATTGCCTATGCTTGTAGACATGTCATTATGGACTCCGGCACCACAATCACCTTCCTCTCCGACACCCACTGTCTCGCTCAGAGTTCTTCCCAGCCTCTCCACCCAAGACATGAAGACTACTGGTCAGCAATTTCTGCAATATCCAGATTGTGTGTTTCAGTGTGATGAATATATTGTTTAAAGACATTTAATTTTTTCACAGAAAAAATAGAACTAGGGGAGCGGGACTTGAAAGCCATGCTGCAAAGCCATCGGGAGAAGAGGAAGCGTCAGCCAGTAAGAAAAAAAACAAAACAGATATGGTGCAGTTTTAATTTATACAATATATTACTAATGATTGATTTACTCAGGATCATCCAGACTTGATGACCTCTGATATCCACCTTGGAGACATACTCTCAAGAACCAACATTGGTCGGAAGGGGACTCTGCGTGAGTTAAAAAAAATAAAAAACTAACAAAAAATCTTAAACCTCTTGTTTTTGTTGTTTTAATAGCACATTGTCAATGTGTTTCTTTTTGTATTCCAGCACTATTTGATCTGTCTCTGCCTAAGAAGAAGATGAAAGATGAGAGAAGGAAGAAGAAAATGAGAACAATAAAAGTGGAATCTGAGGATCCCTGTGAAACTCTTCCACCTTCAGACACACCATCAGCTCCACCAGCGAACATCATCAACTCTCTGCCGGACACACCGTCTACTCCACTGCCCAACATCAAGGAGGAGTGAGTCAACTCTGGTGCCACGCTGGTGTCAAGAATATTCACAGAATTGTGTGTGTGTGTGTGTGTGTGTGTGTGTGTGTGTATTATGGTATTTATTAATGTAAAGAACCTCATTGCAGAATTGTGGAGGAGTCTCAGAGCAGCCCGGTTGCAGTTGAGGAAATAGCCGTCAGTTTCTTCAACTTGATGGAGACCATCTTAAGGGCAGAAAACCTTTCCAGCACTTTAATTGTATGCACTCTTTCCACAGTCTTACATACACATTATTTAATTGATCACAGTTTTCCCTAAACATCATAACACCTAAATTTTGATTTCTCAGTTGGAGGAGAAAGTTCAGATGTGGCAGTCATCTCCAGCCAGCTCACTCAATGTGTGGTTTTCATCTGTTCCGTGTTGGTCTGACTTGGTGCTTCAAGCCCTGCAGTTTCTTGCAGGAGAGACTAAAGGTAGGTAGCAGCGATCACTCACACTGAAATGGTCAGACTTTAATTTTACACCCCATGTTACTCTTGTATGTTCCCCCACACTTTGTTGTTTGTTAATCAGATGGCATGATGGCGCTCCCCAGTGGCTTTTCTCCATTTGTGGAGTTTTCTGATGAATCCCAGCACTGGAGGTGGATTGGTAAGAGGATTTAACTGTTGAAATTCCTGATTGATGCAATGCTTGGTTTTCACACTGATTGTATTCTTAAAGATTAAAGTCAATCACTTATTTTAGGCCCCACTCAGGATACAGAGAAGGATCTCAGTGCACTCTGTCAGCTGTGGCTGGACTCCAAAGATTTAGTTGTCAAGGTAGTACAATTGTTATATTACAAATACACTTTCAGAACTGATTCTAAAGTTTGTACTATGCTATGTTACTATATTTATGTTTACCACTGTTTTATTTGTGAGAAAATTTAAGCGGGCTTCTTTGTCTTCAACAGACCGAAAATGAAGACATGTTAGAGATTACTTCTCCCACGCCAAGAGTGTAAGATTCAGTGATTCATAAAGCATTGCAAACATGATATAATTTATGAAAATGTAACAAATTAATCAGTTGATAGACTGGAAATTTGATTATTGTTGTTAGACTATTATTACTACTAACTTTGTGTATTTGAGCGCATAGTTAATTACTCAATAAAAAACTTAACTTAATTGTAAAAAAAGATAGTTTAACATTATGAAGTAGTTTGAGTTGCAGTACGGTGGTTGTTGAAGTTAACCGTGTAATATTTCTAACCAAGCAGTTCAACTGATTATGTGGTGCGGCCGAGCACAGGAGATGAGAGACAAGTGTTTCAAATCCAGGTTTGTTTGTGCTGCTGGAATATTATGACAACATTTATAATATTTTGCCTGGACATGAAATCTCTAACCCGACATACTTTTCTGTTTGTTTATCAGGAGCAGCAGCGATACAATCAGCCCCATAAAGCCTTCACCTTCAGGATGCACGGCTTTGAATCTGTTGTGGGGCCCGTTAAAGGGGTGTTTGATAAGGAGATGTCTCTCAACAAAGCCAGGGAGCACACACTGCTCCGCTCAGACCGACCACCATACGTCACCATTCTCTCTCTGGGTAAGACCTTCGGTTTTACTCTTTACTCCAAGGAAACCATTCACACCATTCTGAATTCTGACTTAAAGTCTCTCTCTTCCGTAGTGCGGGACGCAGCAGCCAGGTTACCCAATGGAGAAGGAACAAGGGCAGAGATCTGTGAACTGTTGAAAGACTCACAGTTTCTTGCTCCAGATGTCACTAGTGCACAGGTGTGATACTCTTTTCTTTTTTCTTTTTTTTCTTTTTCTTGCTCTGGGTAATTTGGTTTTGTTTGACCTTAAACAGGCTAGCGCTGCCTTTAAGATGCAGTCCCATGTCCTGTGTGTAAGGAGTTTTCTATGTTATTTAGGTGAACACGGTTGTCAGTGGGGCTCTGGATAGACTTCATTATGAGAAAGACCCCTGTGTGAAGTATGACATCGGCCGCAAACTCTGGATTTACCTGCACCGCAGTCGCAGTCAAGAGGAGTTTGGTAAGCAACCATGTACTTGATTTATAAAGATCTCTAATCCTGTCAATTATCTTTATTATTTACAATTATCTAAATTTTCCCATGTTTTTTGTTTCTCCCATCCAGAGAGGATCCACCAGGCTCAAGCTGCTGCTGCAAAAGCAAGAAAAGCACTTCAGCAGAAACCTAAACCTGCATCCAAGCCTGTGAGTCCACTGCTTCCATTTTACAGTAGAAATTCCTATGTGGCATTTTACTGTATGGAAAACATTTGTTGAAGTTGTGCTACTGTAGTGGAAGTTATTGCCTTCCTACCTGGGAGTTTTCTAAGTTGTTGTTCATCAGTGTTTGACATTTTAGACGTTGATTATTAATCTTAAGCCCGGCTTATGTTTCAGAAGTCTGGAAGTAAAGACGGAGGCAGTAAAACCCCTGGATGTCTGGAGACAGGACTAGATATAGGCTCCAATCCCATGTCCCCAACCCCTACGACACCCACTATTAATACACCTGGAACTCCTAAGTCACCCTTACCCTGCACAGCCACCACGCCAACGAAGACTGGAGTCCCGGATACAATCAAAACCAGCCCAGGGTCAGTGTGACACAAGACTTTTATTTTTTTTGTTTTAAATAACATCGGACAATAAAAAGGTGTTTGTTGTGTGTTTCATCTGTGTAATTTGACTTTTGTTTCATCTATTGCTTCCGCCCTTCTTGCTCTCCCAGGGTACTTCTTGTGTCCCCTCCCTCATTGCCCCAGCTGGGAGCCATCTTACCCAGCAGTCAGGCTGGTCCACCAGCTTCGCAGCCAGTCACATCCCAACACACGGCTCGGATAGTGAGTCACCTGGCGGCAAGCTCCCTCCCTCAGGTGCGGGTTGTTTCTGCTCAGACTGGTCTGTGTTCTTCAGTCGGAAGTCAGCAGGCCACACTGATGCATCAGACGCCTCACCAGATTAGGATGCCGGTGTCTGTGGCAACCAAGGGCATTTCACAGGTAACCACATAAGGAGCCGTGTTTGTTGTTTTTATTACATTCATATTATGTTAATTCTGTCTGTGTTTATTGTGTATATCAATAGGCAGTGGTTTCTGTGCCTCTGAGGAGTCAGTCTGCTAGTAGTCCAGTTCAGGTGCCAACCACCCTGTCTGTGTCCGCTGTAGCCAAACCTCAAACTGGATCACCTGGTAGCCCAGCTAACAACCCTGCTTCCCCTGCTGTGCTGCAAGGAGTTGGCAGCCCTAATATCAAACAGGTGAAACATTTTGTTTCAACTGGGATATTTGGTGACTTAAGTCGACTACTTGTAGGGCCTTTTCTAAACAGTTTTAAACTGCAAGAATGTCTCCACCAAGCTGGAGATTAGTTATGGTGCTATCCATTTGTCTCGTAAATCCCCCGCCCGAGTTGCTCTTACGCGAGAACGTGACGTAATTGCCTGGCTTGTACCTGGCTTGTTCCATTTGTCTTTGGGCATTTGCTACACGACGAGTCGGAAAGAACATGGACACCACCAGTGCAGGAGCTGTCTTGTTATATTTTGTCTCGAGCCACCAGGGGCAGTTGCAGGCTAGTGTTATTGTTAGCTACATTAGCCTATTTAGCAAACCAGCTCGAAAACAAAACTTTACATTGTATTGCACGCACAGCAACACCGTACAATGCATAAATTGGTGACCCGACTAAAGCAGCAATGTAAACAAGTGTGTAAGAGCATTTCAAATCGACATTAAAACGACCAACGTAGTACAAATACAAAGAAAATACATCTCAATATGGGCGCAGCCATCTTTGTTTTGCGTATGTTCACCCTCGTTTAGCTCGGTGTACTCTGAGGAGCCCCGACTGGGACGGCTGAAATTACGACCAAAAGGGGGTGTGACTCGGTGAAATGTCGCGAGATAGCTGCGAGATTTACACTTTCCATTTCGGCCGGGGGATTTACGAGGCAAATAGATAGCACCATTATTGCATAGCTTAAAAACATGTGGAGGGGGCCATGCTCTCAAACTGAAAGGGTGCTATTTACAGGTTGATAAACAAATTTAACTCCTTGAACACTCAATGCCAAATGCTAATGGACAGTTATTGCATAAAACTAAATATTTATTCCACCCAACATATGGTACAGGAGTACAAGTACAGAAATTAGTTCAACCTTTGTCCCGCATGGAACATTTGGTATTTTTTGATTTCAACAGAAAACATCTACAGGCTATGGATTAAAATACCTTACTTCTTATTTGGTGGTGTGTTTTTTTTTTAAAAGGTGTCCATCACAGGCCAGTTGGGAATGAAGACAGGAGGAGCAGGAATTCCAATAACTGCTACAAACCTGCGCATCCAGGGTAAAGATGTCCTACGTCTTCCTCCATCCTCCATCACCACAGACGCTAAAGGCCAGACGGTGCTGCGGATCACCCCGGACATGATGGCAACTCTTGCCAAATCCCCAGTTGCAACTGTCAAACTCACCCCTGACTTCCTGAGCGGTGCTGCCACAGGCAGCAAGAGCATATCAGCCACTCTCCACGTGACGCCACAGCACCCTTCACCTTCTTCTGTCTCCAGTGCTTCATCAGGGGAAGTACAGACCACTAAAGCAGGCTCTGTTACCTCCACCTTGTTGAAGGCTGCAGGAGACACAGCCATACGTCTGATGCCCACACTGGCTGTCACTGTGGGTGACCAGAAATCTAGGACCTTCTCCACCGTGACCTCCCCCGACAAGAGTGGCGCCACTATTCGGATAATGCCAGGCCTTGGTGTTATTCCACAGAAACAGGGTCAGACTATCACAGTGACGACCACCACCGGCAGCAAACCACTCACAGCGTCTACTTGTGCTAATGTAGGGACGATGGCTGCCAGTGTTGTGGCTGGTGCTAAGGGGATCACAGTGGCTCCTGGAGTCTCAGGCTCAGCTCTAACGCTAGGAACAGCTACTGCCACCGTGCGGCAAGTCCCTGCTACAGTGGTTACTACACAGACGGTAAGAGAATTGTTCTGTTTCTGTACATATTTCAAGGAAATTGGCAGGTTTTTTTTGTTTGTTTTTTTCAGTTTCCCAAATAATCTCCCAAAGAAAAAAGAGGAATTAAATGTGTTCATAAGTGGTCACTTGAGTTGCAATTGAATGTCAGGTGTGAACTGCAAGCTGACACAATGGGAATTTACACAATCGATTGCAAGCTGTTAGGTGTGAAGGGGACTTTCACTCAAAACTACTGGATGCTTCCTCCCAAATACCTCTCTGAATAGCTGATTAATTAATTTGCTAGTTTCCTCTAGAGAGAATTGTACTTTATCAAATGTGTGCATTGATCCCGTTTGCACTGTTTATTTAAGAAACTCCTCAAACATGCCTTTTGTACTTAACTACACCTTCTGAAAGTCACATGACTCAGGAACAATTCTCTTTTTTGACAACATTATAGGGGAAGTTACCTGCACGGATAACTGTGCCCCTCTCTGTCCTCAACCAACCATTGAAGAGCAAGAGTGTTGTGACCACGCCTATTGTGAAAGGAAGTCTAAACACAAAGTAAGACTCATCATGTGCATTGTTATTTCTTTTTTATTTTCATTGAGAACATTTCTCTTGTTAAGACTTTTTCCAGACAGAATGAAAAGAGGATTTGATTGTAAAGATTAAATTAAACTCAAAATGTAAAAGGTAGTAAAGATTGTATTATGTATAGATTTTCACGATATACTTTTATTTTTTATTGTATGTGTTGTGAGATTCAGTGCTTTGATGTATTGATACTCCCAGATGATGATTGTATATTTTGTTTACACTGTAGAGTCATAAGTATAAATTTTGGAGACTCTTAAATATATTTAAAGAAACATGGTAAAATACATAAATAAATAGAGATGTTCTGATACCATTTTTAACAAGCGTATACTACTAAACCTTGCACTGTTGTATGGCCTGTTTTAGTTTAAGCCCTTTGTCAAAGTCACTGTAGGGTGGGTTATGACATTGCTATCCTGTGAAAACAATGGTAAATGGCACACTGTTGGGAAGTAAATTTGGGGCAAATAAATTATGTGGAATCGGATCGGTGCAAAGACACCCATACTCGCTTGCATTTTAGGCAGTATCAGATAATGGTATCGGTGTCAAAACAACTCTATTTTGTTTTTAACAGGGTTGCTAGATTGACATGACTTTGTCCTTTTCCTCTCTTTTCTGAGCAGCCTCAGCAGTCTTGGGAGGAACATCATCCTGACCACCATGCCTGCTGGCACAAAGCTGATCGCTGGGAACAAACCAGTCAGCTTTGTAACAGCACAGCAGTTCCAGCAGCTTCAGCAGCAAGGACAAGCCACACAGGTTAACAGGCTTTTACATGTCACAAATGAGACATAGTAATTTATGAAACACTTGTTCAACTCACGTATTCATGTAGTAGTAGTAATTCATTCAGTGGCTCAGTCCGTAGGGACATGGCTTGGTAACTGGAGGGTGGCCAATGCTCCTACATGGCAGCACATCACAGCATGGCAGTGATTGTATTTCAGGCCTATGTGTGTAAAAATTGTAGTGAAAATTTTTTTTTTCCCTTTGGGAATTAATGAAATAAATCATCTTCTTCATTTTGTGATCGTATGAGATGTAGCTATGTGTAATAACGCCTGTAATGCCTAATGACTGTAATTAGCCATCAAAACCTACAAAAAAAAAATCACTCATGTTATTTGATGGCTTTAATTTTCTCTAGGTTCGCATCCAGACGGTTCAGGCGCAGCAACTCCAGCAGCACATGGCCACAGGCTCCCCAAAATCTGTTTCCACAGTTGTAGTCACAACAGCACCTTCGCCCAAATGTACACCCGATCCTCCACCCGCACCTCAACAGTGATCCTTTCTCGTCAGCCAGCAGTGAATCGTAGGTCCAGTGCACAATATACATGCCTGTCTTTGATTGTTGGAGTATGTTTGTTATCAAGCTTTTTCAGGATCATTTGACATGTTTTACTCTCGCAAGTGAGGTCATTGTTATTACCATGTGTATTATGCCTTCATTTCTTTTCAATTTGGATGATATTTACAAAAGCCAGAAATATGTGTTCAGATTTACATTTCTCTGTCTGTTAAAGGGTTTTGATTTCTGCTAAGTTACCAGTATCAATTAATTATTCCTCAACTACATTTCTCATGAATTTTATTTTCCACATTGTAATAATAATAATAATAATAATAATAATAATAATAATGTAAAGCAGCTCACCAGGCTGTTGACAACTACAACTATATTCAGGCAGGCTGCAGTCTTACCATAGAAATGATGCTTTACTTTTTTTTTCAGTGGTTGACAGACTTTGAAGTCAATTCATATTAAACTACGATTTAAAATTTCTCTATGACCGTAAATAGGATGTTCTCTGTGTCACTTCTTTAAATGTTGGATGTAATATTGTGTTGTGACTTGCTGATTTTTGTTTTAATATATTATTTGTTCTCTTATCGGGTGTTTGATTTTATTTAATAGCAGGCCACACACTGGAGCCATACATTTTAGGTTACAATTTATGTAAGTTTTAACAGACCATAATAACAGAATATACTTTAACAGATTGTGTTTAATTTTTTAATGAATTTATTTTTTACAAAAACATACATTGTGCAAAATAGCAGAATTGGTCTTACAAACACCTCAACACAGAGAATGAAATCAAATTTAAATGAAATTTCTAAGAAATATAACAAGACAACAATTCACTCTTCATCTGACTGTTCAAGTAAAGCTTTCTGGGAGCTTGTTTTGGAGGATGTATTTCGCATTCCAATCTCGATGTCCCGTCCCCTTGCTGAGAATCGCTTCACTGTGCTATTGGAAGAAGAAGAAAAGCTTTAGGAAGCATGTGAACAACATAACGGTTATAAATTCATGCAAGAACTGTCCTACTGTCCCTTGTTCCTACAAGCAGTAGGACAGGGAAATTTCCAGTCCTCAGTTGGGACCATTTCACAATTAGTGCTGCAAAGCAGTTTTTAATCATACGTGAGCATTTCTTGTCCTACCAGCATGAGGAAGCACAAACAATTATGTGGGTAATGTGATACACATTTCTGCTGACTAGTAACGCACCAACACAAATGAGGATAGCAACCTGATGGAAACAATACAGGCTTCAAAACAAGACCTTGGCAAATAACCATAAGGCCTAGTTAACACAATATGTTTAATGGGCCTTAAGCACACAGTGCATGTTGAAGGTTCAATGTGAACAAAACCATGTTGCATATAAAAACTTCACAGGGTATCAGGTTCAGAGAGCAGACTAAAACTCCAGCTATAGATTATTAGACATTTTTAACAATCATTATTTGACCCAGTCTCTTAATCGTAACTATCTTGATATACAGCACAAGAATGCAGGAAAGGGCCCCCCGATAGCTCTCCTGGTTGAACTTGTGCCTCATAAAAGCTGAAAAAAAATATTTAAAAAAGAATGCAGGAAATGCTTGTAGCCTAGACCAAAGGTTCCCAAATGTTTTGAGAAGTAGACGCTATAGATTTGTCTATTTGTTCATTTTTGTGTTAGATGCTCCTTTTTAAATGATAACATTATTACATTTGATTGATAAACTTGCCCAGGTAAGGAGGCTAATATACCACATACAGAGCAAGCACTCATAGATTAGCTTGAAATGCAAATGACTTGCAACAGTCTAGGAGCTCGCCCTATGTATATGCAATAGGCTTATGCTCCTGGCTGGTAGCACCCTAAAGGACTTTAAGAAACTTATTATAGAGGCAACAAGTATAGCCTATTTTACCATTTTGTCTCTGCTTTGCCACGAGACAGACAAGCTCTTATTATTTCTGCATTCCAGTAGTGCTTTAACTTGCTATTGTTTACTTGTCCTTGAAACCTCCCCCTAAACCGAACACAGTGCAGCCACCATGTTATTCTGAAAACTGAAGTGAACTGAACAAAATATGTTGTGGTCACCCATCATTTTCTCTTTTTTAAGCACACAACAAGCAGGGCAAAATGTACTGAAATAGTTGACTGTTTCTCATTTCTCACAATGTCCTGTGACAGGTTCACATCAGTTTACTGCTCCTGTCATGTAGATGAAGATGTGGATAACGTACTATATGAGCATAATTAAACTGAATTTACTCCCTTGTGGACTCTGTTTTGCATAAACCTATAGATATGGCACATTCACTAATGATTGATTAAGTTCTAAAACATGTATAGGTGAAGTATGGGATACTTACAACCAAACCACAGAAGAGGTGCAGGCAACTAAAAGCAGGGCCACAGCTAAATGCCAGCAGAAGCACATAGTGACAAACATGATGTTGGCATGTAGGTTCAAGTCCCACACTGGTCCACTTAATGGGTAAAGTACAAATCCAATCTGAAATGACAAAAAGTATGATGAAGGAGTCAACTGCTTGTGATTCTGTTAAATATATAATATATGTGTTCACAAAAACAGATATTGTGTTTGGAAAAGAGCAGTCTAGTTAAAAGAGGCCAAGATTAAACTGATTTACTCAAAAGCAAGAAATTAATTAAATCTACTGAATCAAGCTGTCAAAAACTGTGTATTTCATATGTTGATACTATGTGGTAAAAAATGCTTATTGGCACATTCATACTGTGTTCCACAAAACACATGTAACACATAACAGCATTCTTAACATAAAGTTTTTCATAATCACCTGGTAGAACCACGAGCCCTGCAGGATGAACATGCATCCACTGAAGAGCTCCAAAATAATGTTGTCTCTTAGGAACACCTCCAACACGGTACCGGCCGATCCACTAAATACGGCCACTAGCAGCAGGGAGTGGATGTGAGCATCAAGAGGGGGCCGACTGTGCACGTGGTAATAGAACAGAAACCCTGGATGATATAGGAGAGTCAAACATAACGTCAGAGGGACATATATGATGTGAAGGAAAAATGTATAACTAAAGCCTAGCCTGCTTACAGCTTACCTTCAACAAAAAGGGCCAAGGACAGAGCAAGGCGGTCGACACCAGTCGGCACCAGTTTGGATGCATTACTGGCAACCAGTGCTATTCCAGAGATCCCAAAGAACAGATACATGGTGCTGTGCTGCCAGTTCATCAGCTTGACCCATGAATTGTTCTGTCTGTCATAGAGGTGGGCATGTGGCCCATCCACCACAAACTGTTCAACCATAATACCTGGTATGGTACGACATCAGACCAAAATAGATGAGTCAAGAACAGGCTTTAGAGAGTTTAAGTGTTCATGAAAACTGAAAACTCACCAACAAATGAAGCAAAGATTGTAAATCCTCCCTCAATGTATTCCATTCTTTTAAAGAAAGGCGGCATAATCTGTCTTCCTTTAGGCTGATTTGTCCTCCAGTAGTGTTGGAGAACGTATTTCACGGTTAGCCAAAAGCCATAGAACAGGAAAAAAGTGCCAGGAATGGCGTGTCCTCCAAAGTTAGCCATTGTTAGGTCTGAAAACAGAACGAAATTTACTTCAATAATCGGTAATATACATTTGAGAGAAACACAGTGTTTATTATTTTAGCTCAGTGTTCTTTGAAGGTAAGAAGACTCAACTTCAAGGTTCAAGTACAACGAGTAGCTTTGTTTTATGGTGTTTGGAGCCATGTGACGATTACAAGCAAAGCAAAAGTTGTTCCAAAACCATTTGGAACAAGAACAAAAAAAAATGGGATGACAGCGAATGAAATACCACAATCACAGGACGGCAGATTGCTTCCATATAAAGGTCATTGCTAAGTCAAGTATGGTTATATAGTTACATAACCAATTTATAACTATAGTGTAAGCTCACCTAATTATGAAAAACATCAACGAAAAGGCTGAAAATATTCTCCAATGAGAAACTTCACTGAGTAAGGTCATTTTGAAACATCAGTTTAATCACTAGTAAGTTTCATGTTATTAAGCATGTTAATCGCACTAAAGTGTCAGCAACGATCTTCCATACAAAGGAGTAGAGAAAACATTTATTACTTGATACTGTATTTTATTGCAGCAGTGCAGGGTTGTGGACTAAGCCCTTTGATCCAGACAAGAGCTGCTCATCTGACTTGCAAATATGAAATTCAAATCAAACACAGCTGTTTGGTAAAGTCAGTCAAATGAAAAGCAAACTCAGTTTTAACAGTGTTACTGATAATATAATATTGATCATATAAAAAGCTGAGCAACGTCCTTTTAATCCAATATCGCCACTATGTGAATAAAATATTAGCCTTTTTTTTTCCTGCTTGTGGCTTCTGAAGTTGACTGTTGAAACTTCCTCTAGTAGGCATCCTAAGTATCTGTAGACACAAGGCACGGGTGTGTTCAAGATCTGCATGTTCAGTCAGACAAGTTTTTCCTGACTAGCCGTGTTTGACTTGCTCATACTGTACATCATGGTTCTACACATTTCACACTTTAACACAATCTCATACATTTTCACATAAATTCATTAGGTGGCACAGGCCTGTAGGCAGATGGAGTTTGCACCCCTAGGTGGATAATAAAATGTACTTACCTTATTCTCTGCTGCTAATTCCCAAAGGCTTAGAAAATTGAGGGGAATTTGTCTGAAGGAAATTTCTCTGATAACAGACTCACAAACCAGAGCGTCTCTCTTTCTTCGGAAACTACATCAGTCCACTTCTTCTTCAGTGCAGTTTCACCTAAATAGGTGCTTCTTATTCACTCTTGCCACACAAATATACACACCGTCTTCCTTATGATACAACTTGCTTTCTTGAAGGAAGTACTGAAGCAACATAAGAGCTCAGTTGCACATCTAAGAACGTTAATTCAAACTGAGGACTACCGTTACTCAACACTAGTACATTTCCTTTGCAGTCTATATTTTCCTACTACACTGTCAATGTTGCAGCTGTCAGAGTGAGAGCAGCCTGGTCTGTACACACCTGTTGTCTGCACTTCTAACCTGTATTGACATCATCACATAGCCCCGCCCATCATTTGCATTGGTTTCTGTGACCAAGGGACATCCTCCTCTGAGACATTCAGGCAGAAAAACAATGCCTGACTAAAGATCTTATTGTTTAAAATAATAAACTTTATTTATAATTCAGTTTAATCAGGTATTTTTGTCCTTGTCACCTTGACTTTTTTTTTCTTGCTGTGAAAATATGTGACAACAAGTCTAATTTACTTCGCCCTTTCTTACCATAAGTTTAGTCTAAAATAAAAAAGCCAAAGTGTAAGACATGAAGACATTTTGTGAGAACTTCATGACAACTGAGTTAATATATAAGCTAGAAACTGTGTGCATAAGGTGAGGAAGCAGTACTGGCTTTAAATGAACTTTGCACCCATTTACAAGAAATCTTTATTGCCATTATTACCACGTTCAAATGATGAGCGTTCCTCAGGTAAAGTTAGTCACCAAAAAGAAAGTTTAATTACAAAACTGAATGTTGTAAAAAAAAAAAAAAAAAAAAGCAACAACAAAGTTTTCTTTTGTTTTTGTTTTTGTTTGTCATTAAAGCTGACACTGAATTCACACATTAAAATTGTGTTAATGCGTAGACATTTGTCTTGTACATGCGGGGGTTATAGTATTACACAGAATAACTTCTTCTCTCGAAACGGGTTCTCAGAAGAGGGTACTGGTGTCACTAGAGGGTCTTCCTTGGCATGACTTTCACAGTAGGCCATCAGTTCAGCTGCTGCTTTGGATACCTGCACAGAGAAGTTGTGTTAGTGTGTGTGCATGTGTGTGTTTGTGTCAAACAGGGGAGGTCAAGATAGCAAAACATTTTAAATTCAGTTTATTCCTTATTCGTGTACCATTACCATTGATTAAAACACCCAAAGACAGGGTTGGATCTAAAAAAGGTGGCCAGTTGGCCCAGTTTGTTGTCAAATGCTGTCAAATTTAGCACATCAATTCTTATTAACTTTTGAAAGTAAGGTGTTAAAAAAACAAAAAAATTACTTAAAGATCTGCTATGGCCACATTTTAGACTAATTGAGAGGTTTAGGTTCAATTAAAAAATAAATTTGGAAAAAAAAGATTTGTAAATAAAACTATTTATTGATTTCTAATGCCACCTTTAGATATTTCTATGAATTGCTTTGCTGACGTGCCACAATAATGTACTATATTTAAAATATCTTTAGTTGAGGGACTTTCCAAGCAAATACTGATAAATGTGGTTAATCTTGCTAATCCATGAATATTTCTATAGATCCCAAATAACACCTTTTTTCCAGTATCAATGAAAAATCAAATTTATATGGAAAAGAAGTACATTTTATCTAATTGGAAGGGTCATATTGATAAAAAAAAACTGTACGCAGGAAATGTTTCTACACTTAACAGAGTAAAGTAATTGCTAAACCCTTCCACTATCCTCCGTTACATAGTGTACTGACTTACCATCATTCTCTCGATGTTGACCTCCAGTTTCAATTGTTCTACCGTCTTTCGAGCATCTGCAATCTTGGCCATGTTGTTGGACATACTGCACCTTTCCTGCTAAAGTCAGCCAGCCTGCAGCAAAACATCAAATGTTATCAGAGAAGAAATATCAGTACGCTATGCTGAAGTGGAAGAGAAATCACGAACACGGTTACATTTCTAAAGAGCGCACACAGCAAACACAGTGTGTGACAGTTCACTGGAGGTGTCTGTGCCATGGTTAGAGTCTGTTTCAATTTGCTCGTTAATTCTGCTCCCTGGGTCTCAGCTGCAAGTGGCACAGGGAGGGTCCCAAAGGAGTAAGGGCCAGGGAGGGGAGGCAGGGCAGCTTCCCCAGGGGAGGACATCCGCTGGCTGAGAATGTAAATACACCTAACATTAACATGTTGCTCTTTCAGAATATGTTTGTACAAAACTGCAGATGTAGAGATTTAATGCTATTAATGTCCCCACTGCTGTTGTATTATGTTGCTCAGCTGCATAGACTAATGCAAGAGATCAATCTTGTTGGACCTCTTAGAGCAGAAAAGCTTCATTAGTCAACAACAAAATACACTGACTTTTGTCAGTATCTGAGTGTGAAATTAATTTGTCAATTTACAAATCATTTCTACATTTAACAATACGATTCACACTCAGCACGCATGCAAAGATATGTAGAGATATGTGGTCTGATATAAGCTGTTTCCATGAATCTGTACAAAATTAGATTAAAAAAAAGAAATTGTATAGTTTCTCAAGGTTCATCATAACTAATTCACAACATCACTCACCACAAGACCATCAGCAAACAGGCTCCTAGAATGAAAGTCCGCTTGTCTTCCACAGGGTCCTCCGCACCAACTTACAGTAACAAATGAAGTGAGATTAATGGCAAAGATGAGGAGGGAGGCTTCAATAGGTTCCCTCCTTCAGATAATAAGCTGTGGTTCTGCCCCCAGGATGGGCTCAGTGCCGCAGTTAAAGGCAACATGTGGTGTGACCTTCATCTCTTAAGTCTCCATCACTTGCTTACCTGAGATGATGCAGGAGCTCCGAGATGGAACATTAAACAAAGTTTTTTTAAATAGGAATTAGATTTAAATAGTTAATAATAGTGTATTTAATATAAAGACATGAAAAAGGAAAGCTGTTTACTCATAACACCTGACAGCAACATGAAAAGACATTAGACTACAATGAGGAAGCCCTCAGGAGAATAGGCAAAGTTGTTTTCCATGACTTTAATTAATTTTCCTGTTTGTAATTAATTCTTAAACAAATATTAAACCTTAATACTTGCATATATATTTACCAAGTTAATTCATTTTAAGCACCTTGGACTCACTAAATATTGAATAATCAGTAATAACACATATTATTATGTGGTGTAAATGTTAGAATTCAAAAATAATATTTACAGTGTAACAGATTATTTTGCCTTCAGCAGGTTTTTGAACAGTTACAGTGGAAGTTTAATAAGCTCAGTCTGTACAAAGAGTCAGACACATGTTGCAAATCAGCAACTCCAACACAGGAGGAAACAATAATCTTGGGTTCTAATTCTTTTCTTTCATGATCTTAGTTGGAGGACACGTGTAACCTTTGGGTGTTTCTCTGACAAAGTTACATGGAGCATAGTGCAGATTTACAGTTTAACAGTAAGCAATGACTGTAAATGGTTCACAAGTAATGTGTTAAAGGCTGGATTACTTGTTTCAAGAGGATCTTATCAAGCTCCAAACAAATAAGAGCCCAATTCTTTTCCTACAACAAATACGCCGTATAACATGCAGTATATCCAATAATTGTGCAAGGCAAGTGTTCGTCAAGGTGTGGGTTTTCTCAGATAACAGAATTATTTGTCTCATGTTGTAGCATCCTCTACATGTCTGCCAGTCTCTCCTGTAGAGCTGACAGTTATTCCACACAGCAGCAGGAGGCAAAGTGGCACTGTTATGGAGTTAAATGTCAAGTGCCTCATTAACATTTGTTTCCCTGTAGTAATTGGCCTCTCCTGTGGAAGATGTGGGACCATATGAGTAAAAAGAGCTGCCGCTTCACCTAACCAACCTCTGTCACCATGGGCCCAAAAATATAATTTGCCCAGTGTTGTGTTGCATAATTTAATGGGGGAACGTTCAGATTTTGTGGTCCTAATAAGGACTTAATATTGTTGCCTACGCTTAACAAATGTAAACTCTAATCATTCATCCAGCAGCCAACCAGCATGTCTCCTATTGTCCATTTATGACACGGTAATGGCTCAGAGAAACACGTTTGAAGCCAAAAGCACGACACTAAAGGATTAAAAAACAATTAAGTTCAGTGGAAAGTGAAAATGGGCAAGTACGAGAATGAGAGAAATGGGAAGATTTACAAACATCTGTCTTTGGCTATACTTTATTTCCTCTCTTTAGAGTTAAAAAGAGTATACATCAACATACAGTCATGGAAAACAATTATTAGACCACCCTTGTTTTCTTCAATTTCTTGTTCATTTTAATGCCTGGTACCACTAAAAGTATATTACCTGAAGAATGAAATGAACGCAACAAAAAATGCAGCTGATTCCATAATACTTTATGTCCTATTTGACATGCTTAAGCTTAATTGTATTCCCAGGGTATATAAGAGGCCATTTCATGTCATAAGCAGCACTGCACATGCTAAGGCCTAGAGTGGTTTCCTGCTTACATTCAAGCCTTAGCACAACTCAGAAGTTGTCAGCTCTCACATAATGCCATAAAAAAGAATTATGTGAAGCCACAAAGGCAGCCATCTTGGCACTGCTGTAAACTGGCATGAGTGAGAGACAGGTAGCCAAAAAACTAAAGATCTCCAAGACAGCCATTCATTACACCAAGAAAAAGCAAGCCGAACATGGTACTTCCAAATTGCTAGCTGGTCGAGGCAGGAAACGTCTTTCTACCCCACGAGATGACCGTGCACTCATCTGTTCCTGTGTCAGGAATCGTTGTCAGTCCTCCAGGGACTTTAAAAATGAGTGGGCACTGTCGAGAAATGTGACTTTTTCAGCAAGGACAGTTCGAAACCGACTTCTTGAAGCAGGTCTGAAGTCACACAGGGCACGGAAGAAGCCCTTCATCAACGAAAGGTAGAGGAACACCCGGTTACTCTTTGCTAGGGATCACAAGGATTGGACTGTTGATGATTGGGCTAAGGTTCTCTTCAGTGATGAATCCAATTTTGAGTTGATGCCCACACCAGCCAACCTATTGGTTAGGAGGAAGCCTGGAGAAGCCTACAAACCAGACTGTCTTGCCCCTACAGTAAATCGGTGATGATCTGGGGTTGTTTGAGTATGGGTGGAACAGGGCAAATGCAATTGTGTGAAGGGCGAATGAACCAGGTAACGTACAGGGCTACTCTTGAAAACAGTCTTCTTCCATCAGCTGATAAACTCTTTCCTGCCTCGAAGGACTGGATTTTCCAACGAGACAATGCCCCTTGCCACACGGCAAGGTCAGTTAAAGCCTGGATGGAGAACCAGAACATTCGAACCATGTCTTGGCCTGCTCAATCACCAGATCTAAATCTAATTGAAAACCTGTGGAACATCATCAAACTCAAAATGGAGAACCACAAGCCCAAAAACAAAGCAAATTTGTTTTAATTTTTGCAACAGGAATGGGCTGCTGTGACAGCAGAACAATGTCAGAAGCTGGTGGAGAGCATGCCAAGAGGCATGGCTGCAGTCATCAAAAACAATGATTATGCAATCAAGTACTAACTCCTGTGTGTATCATGTGACTAAAACAGACAGAAAAGAAAACATGGAATGCCTAAAAGCACTGTTTTTGGCAGTACAATGCCATAGCTATTGATGTAAGAACTTAAGTGATTTTGGTTATTATCAAGAAAACCATGGAAAATGGCTAGATATCAGCTCTTAAATTAAACTCTTATGAGCTATTTTTGTTGTTATCATTATATTTGTCCAAACAAATGTACCTTGAGTTGTACCAGGCATTAAAATGAACAAGAAACTGAAGAAACAAGGGTGGTCTAATATTTTTTTCCATGACTGTATTTTACCCAACCTCACTCAGCTCAGCTAACCAAACACAAGGAGCCTGTCTCAGATATGTTGTACATATTTGAATGATTATGTTGTGAGTTGTGGTTTATCTCCTGTTGTCTGCTTGTTGATTTTTGTGACTCTCTCAGATCACAGATAATGTTGATTGTGTGGTTGCACAGAGATACATGAGATTGGTCATACTTTTGCAGAAAAACATTTTTACATCATAGCTTTTATTTTCACTTGATTAGTAAGTTACATTAGTGTCAGTGTGGTTGGAAAAATAAATACTCTGGTGTAAGCAGCTTATTAATGTAAATGATCTGTTCATAATTTGAAGGACAAGTAAATACTTGTTTAGACCTCTGGCTACAGCAGCTGTTTATAAAAAGGAGATCCAGCAACATGCAGCAGGTGGCCGAATGAAAAAACCACAACATTTTTGCAACATGTTATGGTACAGTAAAAATACCTTTAAAACATTTTTCAAATCATTTGTGTTCCAGTTTCATAAAACTGTAAAGGTGACAACTACACATATTTGACTTTTAAACCCACCACCCACCCTGAAGCTATGTGTAACATTAATGCTCCTTCCTCTGATTTTATCTTTGCAAGTTGCAAATATCATTATAAAGGTCTTCACTCATTTAGTATCTGGCCAGATTGTATATTTCATATTTGTACATAGATTATCTCCTTTTACTTTCTCTATTTTTATCTTTATTTATATGTTTAATAGTTATGCACCAACTTACCAAGGCAAATTCCTTGTATGTGAAAACCTACTTGACAATAAACTTGACTCTGATTGTGATTTCGTACAAGGCAGCACGTAGTACCGAGGTCTCCTCCTCCTGGTTGTTTATATGGCCTTGTTATACTGGTGTTCAAACCAGTTTTTCTAGTCGGTAGCTCTTGCTGTGTAAACTCATTGGTATTAAAGAAAAAAGCCCTTGAATGTGTTGCGGGAAAAGTCATATCACAAAAAGTTAAATCAATGTAACGTGTAATAAGCATTTTAAATCTTCCATATAATGTAGGCTATAGTGGATTTATAATAGGCTACCTGTACCTGTGTTTTTCCAATGTAAAAATGCTAAATAGCAGTAAAGTTTAATAAACTAAAACACAGTTAAACATAACTATTTAAGGTGTTAATACATTTTAGCCCAACCCCATAGGTGGCATAAAATACCTTCCATACATTTGAGCATCTACGGTTAAAAAAAAAAAAAAGTATTATTATTATTATTGTTGTTTTTCTACAGCCAAAACAAAAGGAGCGTCTTTATATAGTTAAAACTAAAAAAATAACTAAAAAACGGAGTCGAGTTGAGCAAGTTACGGATATTGAACAGCATCCATCCAGGGTTGTACCATCAGTAAGCGACTGTGATGGGCGTGTACCAACACTTCGCTGCTAGCTAAAATGATAAATAACGTTAGTGACCACTGTGAGCTAAATGTTGTCGTCGGACTGATACTTGGTAGTGTGAGCCATAGACATATAATACATACATACACATAATGTATTACATATCTACGGCGTAGACTCTGTTGAAGTTAGGGCGACATCAAAAACCGTAAGCGAGTCTTTACAGAGAAAAGCCCTTGGTGTAGCATTTGAGCTAGCTAGTTAATCTTTAAGTTACCAATAGCTGAGACCCACGAGACTTTAAGGGACCACGGTGATTCAGCGAGCTCGCTACAAAGAGAGACCCCGAGAGCCTCAACACCCACAACGAAACATTCATTGATGTTAACGTCTGTCACTTCATGTGTGTCGCTTTCGGATCGCCCCAGTGTTTTTATTAATTGCCTGGTTTCCATCCTCCAAGATGTATGGGATGTCGGGATGACAGGAAGATGGCAAACGGGGTTGGAAGTGAGTAACGCTGGTACCTAGCAAATGTCACGGCATGCTATCTGTTAGCGGCGTCGTTACTGTTGATGTTATCACTAACTTCCTGCACGGCAGCCTCCGCTCCCTGCAGGGGAGCCTGCAACGATTAATGGCTGTCATCGCGAGTTGACAGCTCTGTTCGCACTTGGTGGTGGTTCCAGTTGCCGCCAACTGTATAAACGACGTGGTTTTAATGTGCAATCAGTTAAACCGGACAGTATGCGTCCACAGTGACCTGCTGGCGAGGTTGGGCAGCTTTGGGGCTGCATATAAAAATTAATGCTCAAGAGATTTAACAATTCTGTCCGTACCAGGCCTCAGAAAGACAGCAGGCGATCAGTTGAACATGGTCGTTTTTAAACTAAATAATGCATGCATTATGTTCTGTCTGTCCCCCCCTCTACAGAGCACAAGCTACTTGTCATTGGACCAACAGAGCCATGGTCAGTGAGGGAAAAGCTGTGTTTGGCCACATCTGTCATGAAGAGTGGAGACCAGAACTGGTGCTGTGCTACTGTTCTATTTTTGCCACTTTAGTCTAAAGCTGGTGTCAGTGATTCTTTATTGTGTGACAAATTTTCATGTGTCATAGTCTATGATATATTCATACGCAGTCATTTGTAGTTTGTGTCAATATGTTAAACTGGTCAGAGGTTTTTACCCATAAGTTCATCTTTTAAGATTCGATAGAATCAATAAGGTTGGATCTATTGTTGGGATTGTTGTATTTATGTGTGCTTGAAATGGTGGTTGCTGTCACAGCCCAATGACACGCAAATACGATAAATTAAGCACAGGTAGGCATGTAGTGGTTTGTTGCTGTGAAGGACTGGCATACTCTCTATGATGTTGCACCATGCTTTAATTTTGCATACATTTCGCATGGATTTACAACTAAAAGACTTCCAAAAAATAATAATAACAAACAAATGGACAAAACAGATCAGAAGAAATTTGACTTAAGACATTGTTTTAATGTAACCAGGACATACTGTAAATAGTGGGCTGCAATGGGCTTTAAAGTGTATTTCATCTTGGATTGCTTTACATCATCTCAACAGGGTATCTGTCAGTCGAGCCCTCAAACCGTTTGCAGAATCTGGGCGACCACCTGACTGGTTCTCTCAAAAGGTACAACAAAACCCGAACTCGCTCGACAGCGGAATACGTAGACCAAATTTATGACCTCTGCAGCAGGTTTGCCCCATTATATTTTGTCCTGTGACAAAGCTGTTCTTGACTTGCCTTTGGCTCTTCACAGCACTGTGCATCCAAGTACTCTGAGCTCCTGGAAACAACAGAGGCCCCAAAGTGAGCGCATAAGTGACTTTTTATCTCAAGCAAGCTTTTGTAGATTTACAAGCCAAAATAAATGCATTGTCAGCATATGCCAGAAAACCACGTCTTAAACTAATAATGCATTTGTTACCTTCAGGCGGAAACGTGGTGAGAAAGGTGAAGTGGTGGAGACGGTGGAGGATGTGATAGTACGCAGGCTGACAGCTGACAGGATCGATGAACTAAAAAAGCTGATAATAGAAACACAGGAAAAGCACAGGTACACAAGCATCGCGTTTAACAGCACGGACATAGCAAAGTAGTTGCATCAAACTGCATCGATGAGACTGGTTGACTTGGTGCTGTTTTCATAGGAAGCTGAAGAGAGAGGCTGAACTCATCCAAGCAGGACATCTAGATTCCAAACTAGAGGAGTTATGGGAAGAAATCCTGCAGTAAGAAGCATCAAACTGTCTATCTGATGTGTTTATACAATGGTACAGTACATCTTTTATTCATTAGCCGCTCTAGTGATATGCTAAATAAATGCTTTTATGTTTATCTTTCAGGAAGAAGAAACTGGAGGAGGAAGAAGCAGAGATAAAAAGAAAAAACACAGATGCTGCCTATCAGGGTATCTCCTTCACTTTTAAGGGGGATTTGGGTGGGGGGGACATTGATATAGAATTACGTTTTAGTAATTGAATTGATGATCTATAAATAGTATCTTTACCTGTGGAAAAAACGAAGTGAAATTGTTCAGTTGAAACATCCTCAGCTGTTCCATCTACGCTCTCTTGGCCCATTTGCAGTAGACATTATCCATTATTCAACGTCAGCTGAAAGTGTAACAGCTTTTAGAGGTGGCAGATAGATTTATAGCATTGTATAGTGAAGCTGTTTTGACTGTATTACTGTAGAGTTGATCAAAAATGCACAGGAAATTTAACTTTTGAGATATTTCTTATTTGGTGGAACTAAACACTGACTTCGAGCTTGTTCCCTGATAAATCAGCACCACCTAAATCAAAATGGTACGTTCTCTGTACAGTGGCCATTTTAGGACAACTCAGATTTAACTTCAGCTTGAGATTTAACCTGTTGGTGGAGCTAGGAAGTCTGTGGATTGGACTGTGAATACTTGTACCAACATTTCCTAGCAATCTGTCCAATAGCTGTCGAGATGTCTGACTCAATTCTTGGACCAATTGCTGTAGAGCCACGCTGCCAACATGGCTTAATCATGGCATTTTCTTCTTGTAGAAAAAAAAGAAAACATAGTGGGTTGAAAATCTGCTTTTGTGTGACTGATAGGAAAATCCTCTCTATGCTGCCCCTCCCTCTTCCAGCCAGACAGGTGGCAAAGAACACGCCAAAGCGAGTGCCTGGCATCACCATGCATTCGCCCTCAGGCTGTAGCTCCCCAAGCCAGGAGTTCTCACCAAGTGACCCACTCGAGTGCTTGACACTGGATCTCGCATCGACAAAGAATGTAAGTCAGTGAAGTTTCAAAGGTATTTAAGGTCTGCCTTACTTTTAAGCAATCGTAACTCCTCTTTGGACATTTAAAACTGTTTGCTGGTGTAATATATGTGTTAATAATCTGTATTTCTCTCAAGATTACTGCAGACCAGTCAGTTTTCCTCTTTGAGCTGGGTCTTGTGTGCCACATGTTAAGATTTGCTAATGTGATTTGCCATTTCCGTGTTATTGTAAAGACCAGAAATCTTGTGCTACAGCTATGGCACACTGTTATACAAAACACTTAAAATGTCCTTTGTATAAAATTTTAGCTGCTAAAAGTAACTAAGGAACTTAGGCATAAAAACAGAAATTATGGCTTTATTAATTATCTTTTGGAAAGGGGGCAAATATTCTTAGTAATTCCCAGGAACACATTAGAGACACGTTAGAGAGTTCATAATTGAAAGCATTCCTGGATTGGTATGGCAGTGTGACTTCATGTCCCCCTCTCTCTGTTTCCAGGCTTCAGGATCAGCCAGATTAATGACAATTTCTGAGTCTTCTGGACCTGACATCAGCCACGGGTCACTTCTGGATGACCCCACCCAAAAGAAGCTGCAGGGCCAGAAAGCCACACCACCACCATCTCCACTCCTGTCAGAGTTACTGAAGAAAGGCAGTATCTTGGCCACAAATTCCAGACTGGTATGTGGAGGGGACTTATTGTATTATGCCGACAGTGCCAAGCTCTGTAATTAATATCTCCGAGTCTGCAGGTGATCCCATCTTCATCTCATCATTTGTAGAGTTACTGTGCATTTAGGAAGTATTTGATCATTGTGTCTTTCATTCTGTTGTGTGGTTTTGGTAGCTGTGGTTGTTTTTGCCCATTGTGCTAAGATTTCAGTCATTTTTACAAATGTATTTAATTATGAAATGCCATTGGATTTGTAACGTCCAGTCTGTTTTCACCTCAGGACATTCTCAGTGTTAGGATTTTCTCTCAGTAGATTTGCTAAAGCTTTTCTAAAGTTGGATAATATGCATGTGTGAACAACTGAATGGGTTTCAGGTGTTGTCTCAGGCTGTGCCACACAAGGTCATTCATGTTCCTGTATGAAACCATTGCAGAGTTCAGAATATGCTTGGTTATTGTCCTGTTATTGCTTCTATTATGTGTGAATATGCACTATGAAGTCTATACTTACAAGTTATTATACAAGTTTCCTGTTTTTGGAAACATGATTGTTCTTTCTACCCCTAAAAGTCTTAAAGGGCTGTACCACTGAAACAGTACATCCAGTCAGGAAAACATTTTGACTTGTTTTCTTGAAAGAAGTTGACTTGAAGAAATAAAAATATGTCATTTAACAGTTAACACATCACTACATCTATTTTGCATTTGTTTGTTTTTTATGACTTTAAGACTATAATTGTGTTGGTTTGTGTTACAGTTCATAAGTCTGCATTATAGTTAACATATAGAGTTGCACCACTAAATGTTTTGCCTCTTAGTTTCTCAGGCTTCTCCTTGCAATCTGCAGGTGGCTGTTTTTTTTTCTTCCTCTAAGCTTTTTGTCATATGTCATCAGTGGTTCCTGTATGGTATGATTTCCCATTGCAGCCAAGCAGCTGTCATTCATTCTGTCCCTGACTGAGGTTTCTTCTTGAATGGTTGCTGGACACTTGACTCCTGGAATTGTCTGACTTGTTTGGTGAAATCCCAACATGTCAGAATAAGTTTGTCCTTTACTAAATCTTTTGCTCCTCACATTCCTCTGGTAATGTTTCTGCTGGGACATGCAGTGTTATCTGTAGGCTGTAAGCTAAAATCTATAATGTAAAATATGTAAAACATACACACAGGGATTGTAGTCATTCTGATTTGTGTTATTTATAAAAATTATACTTTACATGATGGATTTGTAGTTATTTGTCAGCAGTTATTTTTAATACAAGCTGGGAGATTAATGATACTTGATGTGCACTTCATGTAGAAGAAAACAGACAAATTACATGTAAAATGTTTGACATGCATGTATTCGTTTATATCTCAGATTGGGGAGGGTGACGTGCCCACTGGTAATATGACAGGAGCACATGACTTGCAGCTGGCTCCGCCTAGTCAACTTCTCTCTCAGGCAACAGGTACAGATACAGTGTTCATATGTGATCACGTATTCACCCCATTTGGGTATTTATTGTTTTATTTGTTTGTGTGTACAGTGTGTACATTTCATTTTCTTTACACTGATATTTCAAAGTGAAAACAAACGCCTCACAAAATAATTCTACCTTTATTTGTAGGGACATCTTTTATGTTTCCTTTGTATTTGAATCCTAAATGTATGTATGTTTTCTTTAAAAAAATGCTATTATTGTCTCAGTTGTTTGCTCATACATTGGAAAGCTGAAAGCCTCTGCTGTTTGTCTGCACTCTGCAATTTGTGTGTCTTGCATGGCAGGTGCCCCGATGTTGTCTCGTCTCCTGGAGGCGGGTCCCACCCAGTTTTGTGCCTCATTAGGTTTCATGGTCAGTGCAGACTCATCCTCCAGTGCTCCTCTCTCTGCTGCCACTCCCGTTCCTGTTGACTCTGCTGCCTCAGCAAGTACAGGTCCGTCCACTTTGACCCGTGTCCAAACCGCTCAGTGCTGAATCCGCAGGCTAAACCTTCTCACATCCTGGATGTCACCTGCTTTGTAGCAAGAGAATTTCAGACTTTGTTGGCAATTTCAAAGATGTAATATAATGTTAAATGTTAAGGTAACAGGTATTACAAAGATAAATGCGAATGTGAGTTTAGATTCATTGTGGTTAAAACATAAATACAAGCTAAGGATAAAGCTTGAGTTAAGTATGCTGTATAGAAATATACAATTAATTCTTTCGCTACTGCTACTACGGCTAGTTTAAAATTGTATTTTGAAAAAAGAAATGTCTGTTTGCAGAGATGGATGTGATGGTGCCGTCTGTGCCCCCTGGATGCGAGCCTGTCTCTGCAGAGGATAAGGTGTCAGAGCTCAGTGAGGAGGATGTGACTGTGTCCTACATGGGAGATGAGCTGGATCTGAAGACAGTTGGGGACATTATCGCCATCATTGAGGACAAGGTGCAAAAATTGCAAAAATGTCTCTATATTTGTGCAGCAAATGAGATCAACTGTGGATAAATTAAAGCATCTATAATGCCTGCGTGAGGAAAGTTCTTTTAAAATGTGGGTATTTTCTTGTTTGGCCATTAATCTAGTTTACTCACCAACATCACTGCTGAGATTTAGGGACATGGCGAGCTATGAAAAGAAATAGAGTCGTATCTCTTCTTCTACAGGCAGATGAGACTGCAGAGGCTTTGGATGCAGCTGCAGTTGAGGCTGCTCTGTCACTGTGTGAGGAGAACGGCCATGCTTTGTCTGGTGCCTGGGAGGCTGGGCCTTTCCAGCCCCATGAGTCTCACCCCGCAGTGCCCACAGGGGTCCCACAGTCTTCGTCTCTTCACAGTAGCCTGGAGGGGAAGACAGAAGTGTTAGAACTTCATAGTGGGACTTCAGCTTCACTTTCCTCTATGTGCAACAGTCAAAAGAACTGTCTCACAGCATTCGTGGGACTGAGGGGCCTTCCTCCCACCTCCTCATCCTCATGCAACTCAAAGAGTTTGGAGCACTGCCGCACTGGAGCGCCTCCACAGCCTGAGGCAATGGGAGTGACTGGAGAGACGGTGCACCAGAAAAGCCAAATTTCATTGGATGTTACCATAAAAAGTGAGAAGCGGGCACAGCAGAGACCTGTTAAACCCCACAGAGGTATGCACACCCATGCATAAATACTAGTTTTCACTTGCTTCATAACATGCAGTTTGCATGTAACTATGCATTTTGCATAACCATTTCCTTCTTATTATTCGTCTTTACTATCTTGGCAGACTCAGTGTTAGAAGATAGCCCACTGACAGAAAGGCATCCCAAGGTATAGCACCCAACGAGGACAGTGCGAACATGATGCTTGTAATTGCTGTACTGAAATGAAAAATGTGCTTAGCTCCACAGTATTCCTGCACGACGAGCTCTGTTTGAATCTCTCCGCATCTCTCCACCATCTTTGCAGGGGAGAAAGGCTGAGGATGGAATAAGTGTTGGGCGAGGACAGAATGCCTCAGGGACTAAAGTGCACAATGAGGTCAACGGGCCAGAAGTGTGTGGAGAAGAGGAGGGTGAGGGATTCTTGTCAGAGCCAGATGGGGAAATGGAGCTAGAACCTGCGGCCAGCGAGAGCGAGGACGGATACAGCCTCCACACGGCTTCCTCTTCTCTGCAGCTCCACACGACCGCAGACTCCATCCCCAGCAGCCCTGCCTCATCGCAATTGTGAGTGAAACGCATTCAGCCATATGCAGAAACTGTCAATTAGCAACATAAATTTCTCACTGTTTCTGCTTGATAGTACTTGCCTTCTGATGCCATCTTTCTTCTCACATACCATTATTGTGCAGTTCTGTGTGCAGTGAAGATCTGGAAGCTCTACAAGCTCACAAGATCTGGAAGAAAGCCATTATGCTGGTGTGGCGTGCAGCGGCCAATCACAGGTCAGAATATGGCGCTCTGATATATTTCCTTTTTTAAATTCATGGTGTCATCACTAAAAACAGATGTAATGTGATTTGTTTTGTAGGTATGCAAATGTCTTCCTGCAGCCAGTAACAGATGAAATTGCACCTGGGTACCACAGTATTGTGCACAGGTAAGCACAGCGTATGTTTGCTGTGGTTATATTTTATGGCTATTTTCATTTCACTAAAGGTTATTGTAGAGGTTACTTGTCATATTGCTCATGCAGAATGTCTTTTCAGACACTAACAAAAACAACCTTGTTTTTGCTGGACGACATTGGATTATTGACATTCGCCAACACTAACCGCCTCTTTGTGCTTCACCTTTACAGGCCAATGGACCTGGCCACCATAAAAAAGAACATTGAGACCGGTTTGATACGGACCACCGCTGAGTTCCAGAGGGACATCATGCTGATGTTTCAGAATGCGGTCATGTACAACAGCCTGGATCATGACGTGTACCACATGGCCCTGGAGATGCAGCGTGACGTCCTGGAGCAGATCCAGCAGTTTCTAGCCACCCAGCTCATCATGGAGACATCAGAGTCTGGTATCAGCGCCAAAAGCCTGAGGGGCCGTGAGAGCACACGCAAACAGGACTCTACTGACAAGGTGCTTCACTAGAATTTTGAAAAAAGCAGAGAGTACAGAAGAAGAGACAAGGGTGAGACAACAGGCTGACTTAAAGGTAGAAGAAAGTAGATCTGCCTGCCATTTTCCAAAGCATGACATTCATTTTTAGATTGATAATCTTTAGGGTAGCCATTGGTTTCATGTGCTATCAAAATCAACTTGCAGAGACATGTAATCCATCATAATGAAAATCTTTTTGTCAGAAGTCAACTTTTTTATGCAAGAATCCACCAAATTATCTTTTTCACAATGTACATATTAATTTATTGTTTATCTCTGCTCTCCTCTGAGTTTTCAGTGCATGAATGCAATACTTTTTTTTTTTTTAGCTGACTTTAATCTTGGATGAAGGATTAACTTTGACTGTATTACTATACAAAGATAACTCCCCAGAAATGTAAGACATTGTTCACTGTGGAGATTACTGTGTGTATCTCAAACTAATGGTCGACGAGTAGGCAAGATATTTATTTTAAATCATATGTTGTGCTTTGAAAGATGGTAGGCAAGAATGTAATAATGCAATAATGTAAAGAACATTACTGACAACTATTTACCAAAGCATTAGTAAGTTTTTACATTGATATTCTACCTTCAAGAAAGCTATTGTTTTCCATTAATTTCAAAAACAGTATGAAATTGAACAGGCATATTATTAGCCTGATGATCACATTAATTTCTGTTTGTTTGTTTTGTCAAAGATGCATTCTTTTTTGCATGCTAATGTGACTGAGTGAAGAACCACTAATGTTGATGTTGGAGATTTGCGCTACATGTACAGAGAAACAAATAAGCAATGTGAGAACACCTACATTACAGCTACATTACGATACCACACCTTGTAACTTTAACTAAACAAAATCAGGATAACTAAAGGTTTTGATATTTTTTACACATTCTGTAAAATCCATCCTCAAGAAGGCCCTGCGCCAAAACACGTGGTGAAATAAAGGAGATTTTTTCCAGTTAGTCAGCTAGTATCAAGTTGTTACTGAAGCACCTTGTTAGCAGGTGAAATAGCAACAGCCCACTCCTGAATATTTGGATGACAATTTACCTGTCTGAAGTGTTGGGTGTTGATATTTCATAGTGTACTGATGTTAACCGAAACCAGTGGTTGACGGGAAGGTAGGAGATGATTGGAAAACTGCTAAGCTTTGAAAAATGGTTGACAAGAATATATCTCTGTAGTATATGTTGTATGTAGTTAATGAGCTATACATGCTGGCAAGTTCCTTAAAAACTGCCTGAAGTGGATACGTAGTGTCATTGCAGTGCAGTGAGGAAGTGAAGAGTAAAAGTTTAAAAATAGCCACATGGCAATATACCAATTTATGTAGCAGTCGTTCATTTCGTTGTGCTGAATATACTTTGTGTTGTATCTTTCTTGGCTTTATTTTGTCTCTCTCCTCTCTTCCTCTTGAGACTTTAAATGCTCTTTTGAGTCGCAGCTCTGATATGCATTATCTTCCTCTTACAGGACACTGTCTCCATGTCCTCTCCTGCCTTCCTTCTTTCTCTTTTTGTAAGTACTTTCCTTTTCCCTTTTTGTCTTGTCTTTTTTTTTCCAGAGCTGAACTCTAACAAAGCATAAAAGTCATACGTGGCTTTAATATCTTGAAGCACAACTTTAAACATTAGTGTCAGTTCAGTCACATACATTGAGTGGAGACTAAACGTGGCCTTATAGATTTCCCACCTAACAGTTTCTTCCTCTCTTTGACTCTAGGATGGCGGCACCAGAGGGCGCCGTTGTGCCATAGAAGCCGACCTCAAGATGAAGAAATGAACATGCAGTATGAAAATGATCTGACAGTGTCCCTGAGTTGAAGTGAAAGGTGTGATACCACAAGACTGAACGTATCTTCTGTCATTTGCACAGAGTCTCACCCTGCATAATGTGCAGTGTAGCCTTCACTTGCACTCTACATTAAATGGGTAGACTATGATGTGGAGAAGCTCTCATTTCTTCTGAGACAGCCATGCAGACATGGATTACATACTGTATAATCCCAGATTACAATGGGGCATTCAGAAAGACTAGGTCAAAGCTTTCCCATAGTTGCAGATCAGTAAGACTTATCCTGCTCTAAATTACATCAGGTTGTAGAAATGAAGATAAAAGTTACTCCGAGCCTACAAATGGTCTGAAATTAAGCCTACAGGGGACCTGGTTGAATCTCAGATTAGTGTGGTTGATTTAAAGAAATAAACCATGTTGGTGATCAATATGTAAAACCAGAGGCCAAAGAGTACGATTAACCTAGAATTTCTGAATGATCAGGGGTACACATACTAATTTCAACAACATTGTCATTGCTGGTATGAAATCGGTTGAGTTTTTTTGTTCTTTTCTTTTTTCTAATTTTAAAAACTTTGAGATCACTTTTAAATATGGCTGTATCGTTTGTGATTAATTGATTTTATCTACGCTACACTTATTGTGAAACAGAACCTACGTGCATACTCATTTTCAGTATTTTTGAGCAAACGTCACGTCAATGAACTGTTTTGTGGACTTAAAATGTTTGAACAATAAAATGTCAGAAAGAGCCCTCAACCCACTATGTTCAGTTTGAATGTGCACAAAACATTTCCACAATACCAACACAAAACACACCAGAGCAGAAACCATGGCAGTTATTTGTTTACCTTTTCCTCTCAAATCAATACTGTTCATGCATGGGTTGTGAGCAAGGAAAGGCTTGATCTTCTTCTTAATTAGCTGGCATTTCATATACTTTTTAAAAAATATGAAAGTCTGCTTTGCCTTATTCATGACACTGGTGTTTATTGAACTGTATGTTGATAGGAAAAAGCATGGAGATTCTCAGGAATGGGTTTAAGCAGCAGTGGCCACATGTCACGAAGCTGTTGAGAGCGAGTATCACAAGAGCAATAAGTTACTGTTGTTTTATAGAACTCCTCTGATCTGTCGTTTCATAGCGATGGGACACACCATCTTCCACAAAAGCTCTCACTCTGGTGTACGACCAGTGATGATAAGGTTTTTTGCATTTGGCTTTGGTTTAGTCATGTTCAGTGTTGTGTAAATTGGCCTGATCAATAAAACATATTCATAGCTTTTACTGGACCAGAGCCAATGCCACATTATTGTCAACTATTGCTTTGTGCAAATACATTGTGTACATGTTTTCATTATGACCACCTGCACTGACTGACAAAGTGAATGGATGAACAAAGTTGTTTTCTATTTGTTAAATCCAGACATCTCTCAATTGGCATCAACAGAAGTAAATCTGTATTAGTTGTCAAACAGGGAAAGTAAGCTACTATCTCAAGTTGTACATCTGATGTGTGAAATAAGTCAAACATCTTCAACTAACACTGATTATCAGTCTACATAAATGGACTACCTAACCTTATATCTCAAGTAGGATTAGATAATATAGTGTAGTCTTCTAATGATGGTATCGAACAATAATCGCTAAATAAAACGAAGCATTCAAACCACAAAAGAACGAATCACACAGGTTAAAACATATTCTGGTTACATCTTTAATTTTTGGCTGAAAACATGTTGCTCAAGTGTACTACCAAACTGACTGATACCAAAACCTGATTTTTGTGTATCACAGTAAAGGTTTGACATGTTTGTGAGTTACAGTGTGGACCTGGATATTCTAATAATTGAGTTTGTCAGTAGTCATGAAGATGTGTTTGCACAAAATAAATTATATGTAACTAATAAAACACTCTCACTAGGGTGCATGCAACAGTAACAATAAGGAACACAGGTTTAAATATGAACTTAAAAGTGCTTGAGATGAACCTGAATATTTCACAAGTATGAGAACAGCTAAGGCAGTTTGGCAGTCTTAGTGCACAGCAACGAGTATCAATTGTATGTATAAGGTTTGAATGATCTGGGGTTGGTATGAAGAATTAAAGTTAATACCTCCACAAAGTTAGTGTCCTACTTATGACAAGACCTGACGAGTCACAATCCTGGTTCCTAGCTGTGGGACAAAGTTGTTCATGTCCAGCGATGTTTAATAGAAACGGTTTTAAATTGATAATTCTGATTAAGATGACATTTTCAAATCAAAGTGTGGCTTCTATACAAAACATCCCTATTAATTAAAAGGTGCAGGATTTATAAAACGGTTTTAAAATGTGCCGAAAAGCATTTTTTTGAGAACAAAATGATTTAAGCTTGTGCATGATTTAGGAAGGTTTAGAAGGTATTGCATGCCATTTAATGATCCCCCCCTCCCCATCGACAGCCTTGCAGATACAGAACACAGTGCAGAGCTGTGAATGGGCTTTAATGGTTAGAGTGGACTCCCTGTTTGTGACAAATCAAAACTACTTAAGAACATGGCCTTTTTTTGGGACACACAACAGTAATTTCTCACTCTTAAACCTTGAAAATATGCCTGCGGCTAAAACACTGGATCCTGAATGGCAGAAGCTTAATGACCAATGCAATAAACACCTATGCAAGCAGTAGTGCATAGGGAAGCTCTACTGTAGGAGACGACTGGTGGTTTCTTTTGGCAAGTACAACCTTTTTTTAGAATAAGCACATTAATGTGTGGTGTTTTGTAAAAATGTTACTCTACTGTGCCTCCTATTGCTACAGGGCCAGAGGTCAAATTGCCTGATCAACCACAGTATAGATGTTACAGTCCTTTCTAGTGTCTGATTTGTCTATGTTTTAATAATAAATAAAAGGTCCTCTGTCATTTCACAGTACAGAAGCTCTCAAGATTTGTCCACAGACTACAGTATTATTTAAGTCACTGTACTTAATAACTTCCTACAGAAAAAAGATGAGCCAAGATGCTCAAGTAACATTCACTCTATTGACTATTAAATAAATACACCTAAAATTTCAGCGGGGGGGGGGCGACACACAAAAACATTGAAGAAAATAAATACGGTAACCTACAAAACCTAAAATGTGTATGTGTGAACATACGACTGCCTTCGTAACCCCAAAGGGAGACCCAATATGTCATGCCATTTCTATAAGAAAGTTTAAAGGCTGAGACATCATACACACTGCCACAGTGAGTTTGCACTCGATGCTGCTGCCACAACAGCCAGGGTTTGGCAGCGAACATGCAACTCTTATTTTCTACCATCAAAGAGGAGAGAAGGCACATTGTTTCCAGCGGCATATTCTCCCACTGACTGCGCTGTACCTACAAGAGATTTCTTTACAAAGTGGCCAGATTGGATAAATTACACAAGTCTGTAAAGAAACTGTGTTCTCCTCTCGAGCAGCAGTCCTCATTTGGCTCTCTGACGCCCGACCAATCGATGCAGTTTCTCACAGTTGTCCAGCCTCATTGACTCTGCCTTCTGCTTTAACCGTTCATCTCGGTACAGTTGTCCGAGGTTTGCCAAGTCTGACTCTGGAAAGGAGAACAGAGGGATAAGAGAAAATGTATCACAACTATTTATAATTCCTTTTTACACTTTAATGAATAGTTTGACTTTCTGGAAACAGCTAGCCTGGCTCTGTCCAGTGGTTATAAAATCTGCCTCCCAGCAACGTCAATTCACTGTTTTATGGCGGTTATGTGCAGGACTAGTAGGACCAGTTGCCGTGCAACCAGTGGAGACTCCAGGAAGTAACTGTTACCTGCTAGCCTTATATTTAACGTGCAATGTAATGCAATGTGAAGTTGAGGGTCTGCTTAAGTCACAAGAAACAGTATAAAAGATTTAATATAAATCCAGATTGAGCTTTATCAGTCAGTGATACCCGCACCACAACTTAAACTAACTTCCTGTCTAAGCCAAATGAGCTGCTCGCGTACTTTGCTGTTTCTCCTTCCAGCAGCTGTTCTGCAGGTGTTCGATATAATCACTCTCAATAGTTTTCTCTAGTTCGTCCAGCGCAGCTCCGCGGTATTCCTTCTCGAAACTCTTATCCACATAGTACGGCACACCCATGTGCTGCGTTTCTCTGGACACCACCAGCCCCATGGCCCTGAAACACAAACACATAATAGTACTCAGTAAAACTGTGGTGTCAACCACGGTGGGACCCGGGGATTTGTTAAAATGTCATTGTGGTAAGGTTAGTGGCACGGCAGACTCACGGCTTATAGAAGAGACTGTAGGGCGGGTTAGTGGCCATCATCTGAGTAAACACTGATATGAGGATTAGCACCAGCACAGGGAGAAGCTGCAGTAACGCTGTGAAGGTGTTCTGTGGGAAGATAAAATCAGCACAGATTACAAAGCATATAATACTGTATGTAGGCTGCACTGATACACTGTACTCACGCCAGCAATACTTTTGTGTCTTTGAAGCCAACCACGAGCTTCCTTAGCAATAAAGGCAAAGTACATGAAATCTAACATTAGGGGAAACTGCAGGGCTGCAGCCATGTTAAAAATGCATCCCCTCAAAAACTCTTATTTTACTATGGTTCACCAGTGCATGATAATGATTAAAATAATGCCATATCTCCACAATAACAGCCCAATATAATACTCTGGTTGTTTAACATGGAATTGTCTTTATGTTTTATGAGTCACTGACCTGACTCTGGTTGTCCTCCACCACCTCCTCGCGCCTCTCATAAGCACGTCGACGACGAGGCTGATAGAACTGAGAGTAGGAGGCTCCCTGGTTGGTGTACACGTGGATATTTCCTGTACAGAGACACACGCAGTTCTATAGCATCTGCACTTCCAAAATAAGACAGTAGGTAATATGACTAAACTACAGCTAACGCAAACATTAAATGAGATCAACCGTAATAATAATAACAATAATAATAATTATAATAACAGATTGCACTAATTTAGAGAATTTAAGATGAAATTAAAAATCTGAAACATTTATTCATTCATCTTTCCATTCCAACATGCCCGCTATCTTTGAAAAATTCAAATTGGGTTGCAACAATTCCTTTATACATGATAATGAAATGGTGACCTTGCAGTGTCTTCTTATTCATAACCCTTCCTTTTAACATGCTGTGTCCGCAGAGCTCAAGCGACTGCAGTCATTACTGATACTCTTCATCCAACCAAACGCTCACACACAACCGCTCACCTGTGGGAAATCTTCCTCCAAAGAAAATGTTGAAGAGCTCCTCGGGAGAGATGTCGGCCTCAAAGTCTCTGTGGAAGTTTCGGTAGTATCCATGGCGACTGTGGGTGGAGTGTTGGGGTGCGTTCGAAGCCGCGGATTGATCTCCGTATTGATCATACTGCTGTCTCTTCTCTGGATTGCTCAGCACTGCATATGCATTTCCTATTGCTGTTGGGAGAGGAGGGAAACATTTGGTTTGTGGCACACATTCAAATGAGTGTATACAAAATATAGTATGCTGGGAGGCATCCCTTAAAATAAAGCACAGGTATAACTTTGCCCCTTCCTATTATATATACTGTATGTGTATAGTACAGCATGAATAAAGTTTGTATTGAGAGAACAGGAATATAATAGTAGATATACAATGAGGGATAGCTTAACAGATTTGCTGTTTGGCAAACTTCTGTTTGGCAGATAATCAAAGCCTACGTTTTGGGGAATGTAAACAGGAAGTATAATGTTGCTGGATGGATTCAGTTAGCACTGACTTGTTGGGCCCTGTCATTTTTAACCCATATTTCTTTACACTTTGGCGAACTGGCATCAACGGTTAGCACTGTCGTCTCACAGTGAGAAGGTCTTGGGTTTCATGGGGCGGGGCCTTTCTGTGTGGAGTTTGCGTGGGTTTTCCTCCGGGTGCTCCGGATTCCCCCACCTTCAAAACATGTTATATTAGGTTAATTTCTCCAGTCGGTGAGACCAAGGCACTGGTTTAGATCTGTGCTACCCACTGCTTCTAGTGCTTAGGATGGGTTAAATGCAGAGGACAATTTTCATTATAGGCTGTACTGTGTATGACTGCATTTGGGACAATAAAGTTGATTCTATTCTATTCAACCATTTCAACTTAAAGTATGCCAAATTAGCCATTAGCAGTTCCTGTTTTCAGTGTACCCGTGGATGTACAGACAGCTATCACTGGATTACTGTAATTCTGAGTTCTGGACTTATGAGGAGCATCCTTTTCTGTGATTTCTAAGCAGATTTATGGATATTTTTTTCAAAGACACTGGAGTTCATCTTCCTGAAGTGTAAGTCCCACTGAATCTAAAAATATTTGTGTCACATTTGACTAAGTTTGCCTATTTTTGACACAAAAATGGTGGTATTTGAGCGTTAACGTCCCTAAATTGCCTCTGTGTGCTGTGTGTCACAGCCATTACTGCTACCTGTAAGTGCAGACGGTGATGGTGAATGGGCCAAACTACAGTGACTAACTTTCCGTTGTTGTCCCTTTGACCTCATACAGCATCTTTGCCTCATGTCTCTTCCTCCGCACCGCGCTTGAAACTCACCCATGCCCTCTTAGGGAGGTGCGCCTCACAGTTTGAAAACCCCTGCCATGAATCAATACTTAGAGCTCTACACAGAATTTCTGAACTTAATTAAAACTGGTAAAACTGGATGACACAGCTTCAAGCCTCTCGCCTGCTGATGTTTGTTTAAACACGACACTACCAGCACAACGGTGCTGTTCTTGAACTGACTATGACCTCTGGTTTAATGACACGAATGAATGTCGTGGGATCATTAGAAGCTTGCCATTATGCGAGAGTAGTGCTCAGAAGGACCTTTTTTCTTAGATACAAAAACAATATAAGGGAATTGTCGCTATTGCAGCTCGCAGAAGAAAGCAGTTTGTTCTCTCTCCTCTGCCAAAAGTCGTACCTTTGAAAGCATCTGTGGCTCCTGGAGCAAAGTTCTTGTCAGGGTGGAACTTGAGGGCCAATTTCCTGTACGCCTTCTTCAAATCTTCATCGCTGGCGTTTTTGGTAACACCAAGGATTTCATAAAAGTCCTTGCAATTTTTTATCCTGCAATAACAAAAGCATAAATGGTTGTAAAAACAAAACAAAACACCAAGCCTGAACTTAAAGCTTAAACCTAACTCTCTCTCCGACTCATACGAGGTCATATGAAGTGTGTATACTCTTCACGCAATAGCGATTACATGTACACAAATGTAAATGAGTAAAGAGTCTCTGTGCACCTGAGAACACCCTGACGTTGGTCCTCGGTGTAGCTCTTCTTTTCATCACTACTCGCGTTACTTGTTGCGTTGTTTCTAATATCCTCGTCTCTCCAGCCTGTTGGCGGGGGCACGTGGTTTGCCTCTGGAGCAGTGGCGTCTCCATTCTTTACTATGGCATCTATCAGCACTGTACAGCAACAACAAGAACACAGTTCAAGTCAGGTCAAATGTTCAAAATCACAATTTAAATTGAATCAGGGTTACTGGCCAACATAAATATACATGGTAAGGCCTGAACATACAGATTGATGACAAATTAAAAACAGAAAAACAGTGATTGAGTATCTCAGTATGGATGTTGGCCCCCATAAGCCTCCAGAACACCTTCTTCCACCTGATTCTGTGTTTTTATGATAGTGGTGGAGACTCCAAAATCCAACCATTCAGTGTTTCTCCACTCATCTATTTATGTTTTTTTCCTTTCCACATGTGACCCCAATCTATATGTCTACCTATAAAAAAACAAAAAAAAAACAGAATGAAGATTTAATATAGTGAGCTACAACCAATCTATGACAACGGAATCACCCTGGTTATGATGCCATTACTGCAAAAGCAATTAGGCAAGGTAGAGAGCAACTGGAGAGAGAGACAGCCTGTTAGTGCTGCCTGTAAAGGGGGAAGGGAGCAAATAACAGCACTAACATTTCAGCATGCAGCCTGAACAGCCTTTACACTTTTTTACCCCCCCGTCTAAAAATAGCAATTCCGTGCACCCATCTTGAATCTGAAAAAGTCCACAGTTAGTTAACCAGCTGACCAGTGCACAGAAAGCTAGTTGACCCACGTTAAGCTAGTCACACTGCCAGTGCAGAATGTGCGTCAGCTCATTTTACCTCTGGCCCGGGTGCTGGGGTAAATATTCTGGGCTTCATATAGCAGCTGCAGCGCCCGATCTTTCCGCCCCGACCGTAAACACAGCTTCGCCTTCTCTATCAGCCGGTCTGCTTCGTCTTTGTCCATTTCAACGTTACGGGAAGAAGAAGAGGGAGGGGGTGGTGGGGCGGGGGGTTATGTTTTTGTTTTCTTTTGCGGATCCAGTCGCTGTCTAATAGAGGTCTGTCCCTGTGCAATGTGCGTCAATATCATATGGCAAGCCGAGCCCGCCGCCGCTAATGCTAGGTAGCCGATTAGCTTCGGTTTCAGACAGCTGCGTAACGTTAGCTAGGAGCGAGCCCGCAGTCACTCAAAGTCCCTCGCAGTATCCGATTCGCAGACGATGGCGGCTGTTGTCAGGCTGTAAACTGGCCTGCAGCTGGGCCATCTTTTCTTTCCTTTTTTTTTTTTTTTTTTTTAAATAATAAAGCTGAGAGTCTGAAAGATCGACTGTGTTCTGCTGCCTGGCTTCGGGGAGGTGTTTAAAGGGCCACCCTGTTCAGATTAAACTGGGCTCTCCTCAGCTGTGATGGACAGGAGGTGGAGGCGAAACAGAGGCGACGTCACATCCTGTAGCTCTGAAGTCTGCAGAAACCCCGACAGTGATATGAGTCAATGTGTTGTTTACTCGGTTGTTTGTTAGCAAGTTAGTGTTGTTATGGTATATATTGCATAATTGTACTTACTATAAACCCAGAAGGTTGAGTAACATAAACAGGTGTACAGTGATGTTGCTGCTGCATTCAATGACTTTCAGTAAAGGCGTACCTCCGACACTTGCTTGTAATGCATTCATGTGCAGAAGCATAATATACAAAACTGATGTTCTGATAAGTGATTTATTTTCCTTCAGTTTAGCCATTTCTGTCTTTGACTTGCAGTGACAGAATGAGAAGACAGCAGGGATGAACTGGATGGACCTTTAAATGTAATAAAAGCAATCTCAAATTGCCTAATGAAAACAAAAACGACCAACAAAACTCCATATTTAGCTAATACGGACTACTATAAATGGCAAACTGTCTTCATATGTGTAAGAATTGGTCATTGACATCATTATACACACTTCGCCATGACATTAAGACAGATTTAGTTAGATGAAAGATACTGTAGTCACTACAGTGTAGTGTGACCATTCTGATACAGAAACCAACTTTAAGTGTAATAAATATTCTGTACATGAGTCAGACACTTATTTATTTTTTAAGGGGTTGTATTTTGCTTGTAAGTGAAGGTGTAAGTTAGAATAACACATGTCCATCAATGAGTTTGAAACTGTGCGACACATTTTTGTTCATGCATATTTTATTCAAGAGTAAAAAAATGTGATTTGTCCCATAGGGCATGCTTACAATGTGTGTATCATTTAGGAAGTCAGATGCGAAAACATATTTCCATAGATAATAAAAAATGTTGCAAGATAAAATCCATTATAGTTGTTTGTTGAAATATGCATGTAGACCATACAAGAACCAGAAACAGAGGAAGGAAAATAACCATAAGCTAAATTGTAACAATAATAATATCAGCAGTAAATATAACCAGAGTACAATGTTTCCTGTTAAACGTAAGTGCGACACATGATTTTCTTTGTGTCCAATTCATTTACATCTGAAAACCATGCTATCATGCTTTGGCAGCCTGAAAGTTGCTTTTCACTGAGATTATATTCATTCACACTATTGAACATTTTCTGTACATCAGTACAACAGAAAAATAAATAAAAATAAACACAAGGCTTCACACCTTAGAAGGGCATCTCTGCATTCAATAAATCAATATAAAATTAAAAGCAGTGGTAATAAATAACAGAATGAAAAAATGGACATAAACAATCAAAGGAAGCCTATTTATAAAATTTATAAAACAAGACAAATAAAACTACAAATATAATTCAAAAATAAAATAATTCAAGTTTACTATTTGAAACACAACTATCACAATTATAATCTCACATTACAATTAGGAACTTAATTGCATGCATTGATGCGTTCCGTACCATAGATGCTGTGTTAAAAACCACTTTTTGCCCATCCTAATTTCACATACCTTTATCATTAAATAGAAAGATGGAATATAAAGTAGAAAATATATTAATGTATGAAAGGAAATTCTAGAAATTTATGTGATAGTATGTGTCACTCAAGGTTGGGGCTGCACTGGTACTGACTTTCTAGAATTTTTTGTTATGAAAGAACCGGGTGGCTTCCTGTTTTAATTTGGTTTGTCTTCTATCGTCAAAGTATTTTGACACAATAATTGGACATGACAATAGATGTTTTAGTTGAATCACAGTGTGGGTGCACTTTAGAATTAGATTCGATTAGAAAAATTGATAGAAAAACAATAAATGAGATATGATTAACACACTTAAATGCAATATGGACGATTCATTAACCAAAGTTTTCAGGATGAAGTATTTCAGACAGCTTTGAGTTCTAAAATCTAAAATCAATTTGAATGAAAATGAAATTGCATTTATACTCAAAAATAGCATTAATTAACTCCCATCTGGTCAGGATTCATTCTTAAAATCCCTTAAATAAATTTCAGGATGGATCCAAGCCTGATTATTCCAAATGACACAATGGTGTGTGGTTGTTAAATACTCTTTAAACAAAAGATTATTTAATTGTATTCATTCACAAATTTAGTAGAATTTCCTTCTCACTCTGATATCGTACTTTGTGTAGCTCTTGTGCATGAAATCTCATTTAATTTGCAACACAGCAAAAAGTGCAAAAAACTCAAAGGGTGCTAATGTATACTTGAGTGACTGCACATATTCTTTTACTTTCTCTTTAGCAACAAGCAGGTGATAATAATCAGATAGTGTGTGACAGCACGGTATGTCCCAAAGTTCAAAAATCACTTCTTCTCTTCTGATGTCCAGAAACAGTTGTTAATGCCGCCTTTGTTGCCAAACGTAGCAAAGCAGAAGAGATGAGAAACCCACGATCCAAAGCCTCCTTCAGCAGAGGATGCTCGAGTTTATACTTTCCAGAAAGTGAATAGCACGCCACATGTGTGAGGTATAGCTTGATCAAATGCCATGCTTCTTTAATTTGAACTACTTAAACATTTAATGGAGAGGAAGAAAGTAACTTTGAAGATAGTCTGGATGAGAATATAACCCTCTGAGATTCACCTACGGAGGCTGATGAAGTTGCATCTTCACATGGGACAGTGTGTTCCTTTTGGGTACATTTGCAGATGTTAAATCTTGGTGTTTAATCTGTGAGGCTGAGGCATCTACAGTAAGCAGTGGAACCAAATTTTCCTAATGCTCCTTTCACCCCCTCCCCTTTCTTCCCTCATCCCCTCCAAGATACTGCCTGCTAGAAGATGACTGATAGTGAGGGAGGTGAGGAAAGGAGCAGTCCTATAGAGTAGTGAAACATACCCAAGGTGGAGTTTGATCCGCATTGGCTTTTGTGTTTAGGCCAGAGCTGTGAGCACCTTGCCCTCTTTCCCTCGCAGCATGACGGCATCTTACTACGAGGTAAATCAATAAATTTAAGTCCACTGGCAAGATTGCACTGCAAGTTTTAAGAAGTACACGTTTGGCTTGCTTTCTTTTTTGCTTTATCTTTCACAAAGTGGCGTGACTGGTTAATACTAGCAAAAATGTAGGTAAACATGTAAGATTAATTTCTTCATGAAGTGATTTTTGTGAGTGATTCATAATAAACACTTTATGAAACAGTAACATGATTTGTGTGGCATGGATACTGCAATTATGTCTTCTGTCAGGCCCTGTAATAAAGGAGCATTTGTCAGCACTCAGAACAACACAACCGCCAACAATTCAGTCTGTAATTGAACTGAGAAAGGGGACAACAGGCAGAAACAACTTTCAACCAGTCAAGCTGAAGCCCGCTGGCCTCTCCTTATCCCCGCCCTCTGCTGTGAACCCCAGCTCCCCCCTCCCCCAACTGTGCGATGACATACTGTCATGAAAAAAATGACCGTTTTCGCCCGTTTTTAGATTTGCTGCAGGTTTCATGTTCTGTCTGTGGGCCTGGTTTATTTCTATGCTCTGAGGCCTGAATTCCCGATTTGGCAATGTCTTGCTGCAAAGCACAACAGCGGCACGGTTCTGAGGCTCAGACATCACTGGATGTTGCTGTTGTCATCCGTGCCGTTTTCCTCTGACATATTCATCTTTCCCATGGAGTGACCCACATGGTTCACCCCGTCCCTGCGAGGTGGCATGCGCTCGTTGATGCGGTCAAGGCCCTTAGCCTCCTCAAAGCTGGTGATCTTGTGCTGGGGGGAGAACCCACGGATGGCTGGAAAGAGAAAACACATATGAAGGGGTCAGACTCACCTTGTAATGGCACAATCTCAGAATATTCCTGATATCGTCTCTACTTGTTTATTTCACCTAAAATATCAAATACTGTTGGGATTTCCCAGGCATTATAGCGAAAAAGACACAAGCACAGTGTGTCAATCCCTATTAGGAACAAATGTGCTTATTTCAATAACAAATGAGTGTACAAAATGTATTGCACAACACTTTAAAACATTTTTTGGGATTTGCCCAGAAAATGAAAATAAAGAACATCTCTTACTTACTAATCATAATCATATGTGTTTTTCTTTTCTTTTGTTTTTTTCAAGGTCAACTTCCTGGTGAAAGCCTGCAAATATTTGACTTGTGCTCAACTTAGTAAGTAACTATTTTTTCTTAGTTTTATTCACAACAGCTGCTATTGCTTTCTAATAATAATTGACTCTGAATCAGCTGCTATGACACTATAATTTCCCTTCGGGGATAAATAAAGTATTCTATCTATCTATCTATCTATCTATCTATCTATCTATCTATCTATCTATCTATCTATCTATTGTATCAGCACACAGTGCAAGATATCGTTTTCACGCAGCACTAAACTTAAGTTAAATTAAATCTTGTCCTAAGCTAATTTAGCAATTGTAAAGTTGACAGAACAGTAATTTCAGCTAGCTAACAGTGTCTTCAAAGTAGTCTTTTTTCATCATGTTGTGTAGCATTAGTGGTAACACTGCAGAGGTAAGAAGATAAGGGTTTTGCTTCGTCCTAATTTAAAGCTGGCAAGATTGAGGTTTGGTCAGCAACAGCTGCGTCGGTGGGCTGTTTGACATTCATGACTGAACCTGTAACAAATTTAGGTTGCTAAATATATTTTGGTTTACAATCGATGCCATGTCGATGTTTAAAGCCTAGCGTTAGCCTAGTAATTATTGAGTGAGGTTAAAGTTGGTTAATTTAGCTGCAACTAAAAAGATAATCTGTGTTGCGGGCAGGAAACAGCTGCAACACTAAATGTATGCATTCCCTTGCACTTAATGTGCAATGTTTTCTATTAACATGCACAGAAGTTGAAAAGCTGGATCCAGTTCAGAGGATCAGCCCTTTAAAATCCATATTAATAATATTAATATGTGGTAATTTATGTTTTGAATATGAACAGGTTCAGTCTGGCCTTAATTAAATTTTTTATTGTTGGAAATGGTAATGTGTGCAAAGATGAGTTGTATAAAAATGTTCATGGTTAAAATAAACTATTTGGACATAAAGAGTTTTTTAATTAATAGTCTGATAATAAAAACTGGGATTTCTATGTGTTATTGACTTAAGAGAAATTAATTATGTACTTATTCTCAAAGAAACTGAGGTACAATTTCAACAACAATTTGGACATTTTTAAGTAAAATTGAAGTAAAACTTGACCACTCAATATCACCACAACTTTGAAATCAATATTAAGTTGGGAAATAGTTGGGAACATGGAATTACTTAAAAAGATGCATGCGACTTGTTATCTTCATTTGTTTAATTTAAGCCAGTGCATTCTTTCTGAGAGTGCAATTGTAACACTTTGTACCACTCAAACACTATAAAAAAGCGAGTTGTAAGAGTCCTTGCCTGAAGGTGGCACAAGTGTTAAAATGAAAGGCAATATCACATGCTTTACGCCTAGTTTGATGTGTGGAAGAGTCTGTCAACAAGTCAAACTGTCCCTCTCTCAACTGATATCCTGTTGTTTTACACATTTAAAACTGCCATACTTTGTTTCACACCAGTATCAAGAGTCAATAGAAAATACATCAGATTAAAGAAGAATGTCTACAAAGTCCTGTATCATTGTGACTTGAGGCTTTTGTATTACATTATTTTCTAAATAAGCCAAACATAGGTGGAAAGAAAAACCCAGCAACTACCTCAGTTAACTTACCATCATTTTGAAAAAATACATTTCTAAACAATTAATTCCAATGTTAACCATCCTGCGATTTATTTCAGTATATGCATGTAAATAAAAAGATATATTTATGCTAATGCATACTTGCTGTTGAATACTGAAGCGTCTTGGTTATTGAACAATGATTACCTCAGACATATCACGAAGAACTGCAGATTCAGGATGCATATTTCATGTTGATGCCCTGGTCTGTTTCTTGTTCTTGTGCATGCAACATGGTTTTTAAGAACCAGATGGAGGCTGTTTAAAAGCCAAACCAAAAACAATGAAGTATTTTAGTCATGCATCTCTTAGCAGCACTTGACTTTGCAGTGTTTTAATTTATCATGAACATGTCCTTATGACTTAAAAAGCTATTCCTTTTTAATTTATCATTTTCCTTTCCTCTTTTTCTCCCACTTGGACCAATTCCAAATGTGTGCAACAGTCGTTGTCCGTGCTAGGCTTCACTATGTTGTTATAGGCAGTGAGAACTAGAAGAAGATTGATGCACATAGAGGAACCGTGTTTTTTTTTTTTTCATATGTCTGCAAGGACCAGGAGTCCATTAAGTGACAACAATTCATGTTATCTCCTTAGTTCCCTTCCCCCTTATGTGCCTCAACCGAGCAGTGACAAGAAAATTATCCCTCACCTGCTTCCCACCCAGCAAATACTACCAATTGTGAGATATTTTACTCGATACCACTCATGCACCCATTAGAAAACTATTCCTTAAAAATCCTCACTGTGTATAAGGTGACCTACATTACTAAAAAACAGTTATCTAATTTTAACTCATGTTTTTTTGATAAAATATGAATCTAATTTAAAATTAATTCATCTTGTTGGATATCTGCTTTAATCAATGGTACTGCAAAGTAAAGTGCCAGCCATACCAGCATCAAACTGTCCTGTGAAATGTTGCTTGATGGAGTTGTTATTGTGTGAGATGTTGTGTTCATGAACTGTCAGTGGCAGGTGTCCTCTGTAGCAGGAAACCCTGACAATATGTGGGAAGCACAGGTTTACCTTCTTCTTCATTCGGCTCGATGGCTTCAATGGCTTCAATGGTGGCTGAGGGGGGAGGAGGGGAGCAGGTTACTCCTGATGAAGCCATGCAAATGTAAAATGCAGCTCCAGCGAAAAGGCGGCTCATGTTAGGCCAGATGAGTTATACATGTTCACTGGCAATGCAGCCAAACTTAGAGGAGTGCCATGCATTAATACTGAAAGAATTAACATCAGGATAGAGATAGATCCTTAGAGAGAGAATGACAGAGACATTGAGACGGAAAGATAAATAGGCTGAGTTGAGAGTGTAATAGATTTTAGGTAAGAGAAACTAAAAGAGAACAGAAACTTATTGTTCTGCCAGTTTTATGTTATTGTTTATGCTACACTAGTGACACACAATCATGGACCCCACCTAGGTTTGTGCACAAACACAACGATTGGGTTAGAGATAGCTAAACCTTGATTTTAAAATCTTTATTTTTATTTGAAAACAGAATCAACTCTGAACTCTACAGCTCTATGCTGAATGCAGTTAGTTAGTTTGTTGGGGTAAAGGATGGGGCAGGGAAAGAAAATATATCATGTAGCAAGAGACATATTTTTCTTAGAGATCAAGCTACAACTAAAATGTGAGCATATAATATACTAAAGGAAGTGAGAATTAAAATTAAAATTTTCAAGTAAGTAATTGTAGGCTAACATGTTAGCTGTAACAACTTGTTAATCGGTTAGGGCTATGTTGGTGTGAGTCTGTTTTTCTGCCACCTATAACTAAAGAAATTGCTTAATGCAGCTTCAAGTTTATGTGTGGATATATGATTATGGTCCAGGCATGGATATATGAGGGACTTCAGTCTTTTTATGATCTTGGATACAGCAGCAACAGCGACAAGTTCTAGTAACATTGTGATGCAGGTATGCAGGACGTATATATTTTGTAAATGCTGCAATGTGACGACAGAAATATAAAAAAACAATTTTGGTTGTGTCTGTAACATTAGGTTCTTCTGTGGCTTTAATGTGATCAGAGCATCACTAAGAGGCTAAAAAATAAAGCTTGCTGGCTGCTCTACATTAAAGTCAGAAAAGGAGAGAAGGTAATAGAGAGGTAAGACCAATGGTGGGACTGAGAATGGTGATGAAGAAATGAAACAAACAAGATGGAGTAAAGGGTTGAGAAAAGGCATATGCTGCGCCATGTACTCACCGCTCTGCAGTGTCTGTCTGCCTCCAGAGAGAACCCCACTCGGCAGCATGCCAGTGGGCGTCAGGCCCTTAAGCGTCAACACATTTTCACTCTCCTCTCTGCAGGAAACACACAGACAGGTCAGAAAACCTCACTGAACCCTGATCAAACTGGAAAAAAAACAACTTTATCCCCCACTTTGACAACAGTGTATAAACATACAGTGTCTGCACCCGCACACTTACTCTACTCGCATGTACTGTACATACACTCATACTTACATTCACACACACAAACATAAGGTCTACCTGAGAACTGAGAACATTTTGGCCATTTTCCCAATAGCACGGATCTTGTTTTTGATCACCTCCTTGCGTGCTGCAGCTGCATTGGCTGCAAAGAAATATGTATTATGTCATTATAAGCTGTTATTATGATGCATGAGAAACTGTTTGTAGGGTTATATGATGCGTAAAATACTATAATTATTCTATGTGTTTCTTGATGCATAGGATACTGTGATAATAGGCCACAGGTTAACATAGGCCATTGTAATCCATTAGATACTGTAATTATATTCCCATGTATACTTGACATTATACTATAGACTTTGTTGTCATAGCCTGTATGTAGTGATTCAGAAACTGTGTTTATTGGCCTCTGATGCAATAACATACTCTCAGTATGTTTTGTAATGTAGTAAAGCACAAATCTCTATTTTACTGGTGAACTATAAACTACTGTTTTAGTTTCATAGTTAACATATCAATATTAAATGACAATTTACTGAATTTAGTGTGCAGTTGTGTGTAGATCTCATTCCATCAAAGATCTAGTCTGGATTGAACCCAAGATGCACTCATGATAAATATGAAAAATTAATTATTAAATCATTATTTAGAAAACTTCTTACCATCAAAGATCTCATCTTCATCATTCATGAGTTCATCATCAGAACAGATGCTCAGCACATTCACCAGCATTTCTGTGACTGGGAAAGAAATAAGAGTGTAGGAAAAAAGTGAAATCACTGATAACAGATTAGGCTGTGGTGCTGTATCAGAAGACTTAATACCTTTCTCTCCAACAAATGGCAGAGACCAGGTGAAGACATCCATGAAGTTGGGCAGCCAGTAGGGATGGGGTGAGCAGTTGAACTGTCGGATGTTCATGACGTTATTTTCATATTTCAGTACAGCAGCTGTTGGGGAAGCAGAAGAGAGATGGTAGAGTAACATTTTCCTCTTGACCCTCGCAGGATCCTATAGCCTGGTGACAGACTTATTGTACGCTTTATGTTTTAATTACATTAAAAAAATTATGATATAATTCTGAATTAAGAACTCTGCTCAGTAGGCTAAATATTAATAAATCAATCTATTATATCATTTCCAGACTCTAATTGTTGTATCTGAAAAAAACTTAAGGATTAGAGGTCTAAAGAGCCAAAGTGAGTCTGTCTTGTTGCTGCTCGGCCCATGAAAGCATCATTAAGTGTACAATGAGATTGAGTTAAAGAAAGCCTTATGGGCCCTGTGCAGAGAGAGGGACAGGGTTGCAAAGTGTCAGTCCTGTCATGGCATATCATACAGAGGCATATACAAACACTCACATACACACCCAGAGTTCGCCAAAGCATGAGCCCTTGTGGTGAGAATGATTAAATGACAACAAACCTTAACTAAAACTCCAACTCAGAATTGATGCTGTGGCTTATTTAAGTTGGGGCACGTGACTTTTCAGTCTTATTTATTGTATTTAGTGCCATTTAATGCCATAGATTCACACTCTGAATGACCAAAGCAGATACATTTTAAGTCAGTAGCATTCTCCAAAATGATTATGCTGTGAGAAATGTTTAATAGAATCTGATGTTTTTAGGACATTTGCTTAAAGGAAAATGTGATGCACAAATCTATACTTACATAACAAAAATCATTCAGAGCAACGGCAGCCTGCACAGTACACACACTGTCATTTTGTTTTATAGTGTTCACGGTGCAGGATATTTTTAATTTAGCCATATGCAAAACAATGTTAGGTATATGCTCTCTTAAAATGTATTCATGATCTTTGATGTGTTTTTTAAACAGCCCCCTCTGTTCATGCAGTATGTGTGAGAACAGAGGCAGAGAGAAAATGAGACATTCAACCACTAGATGGCCTAGCTGAGGCCAGGGATTGCTGACACTGTTACATCAAGAGGGATAAAGCCACATGGAGATAGTCAGCGATGCCGACAGTCCCTCCCACGCTCCCCATCTCCCACAGCCCATAGCAACCAAGACACAGATCTGAGAACACAAACAAACGGGGGCTCCCTGATGCATTCCTATGCCTGCTCACAAGCTAAATGCAGTTACATTAACCCATACACTCTTTGTGCTGTTGAAACCATTTTAATAAGCGAGTCGGAGGAGCCCATGGTAGTCATTTTGTCAGACATGAAGTGTTTTTCATAAAATCTAACCCAGATGCAGTTAAAACGCCAGAGGTGCAGGTGCTACAGAGACACCGCAACTGGGGCACCTCTCTTTCACAACATCACGTTTTCATGTTTGTTTGCTGTTGTAACATTTACTTTAACAGTAAATTAAACTCTCAAGTCCTGCCTGTCTACTGTACATAGCCACAGAAATTACATGATATATGGAAATAATACATTTTCAACAGGAATATATTTATTTTACATAAAAGAAAAAAAAAAGATACATATGCAAGCAGAAACAAAAGACAGAACTGCAAATTAAACTGCAAACTGAAACAAAGACGGGCATAAAATGAAGAAAGAGACTTTCTGACCTTTGTTGTTGTAAACATCCAGGTAGTTTGGTGCTGAGAAGATGGTAATGAGAGATGGGAATCCAGTGGTCTGACTTTTACGGTACATCCGGTAGCTTTTAGGTGGTCAGGTGGAGGTAAAGACAGAAAAAAGTGTGCTTATATATGTAAATATATATCTGTTTTTATTTGTTTGGATATGTGTGTCTTTTTATGTGTGTTATAGGGATAACATACCCTGCATCTTGTGCTTCATGTGCTCGGATGATTGATAATAGGTTATTGCTCTGTAGGAACTCACATACAGCTGGGTAACTGGAAAAGAGTAAATAAAAGTTGGGTTTAGAGATGTCACTGAACATAATACTTAATTAAGAACACAAATAATTTTTTTCCCCACCACACAACAGAACTACATTTAAGCTGCAGGTTACTAGTGTCTACACAGAATTTCGCTCACCAGAAAATGAACAAAGATTCATCACTCGTAAATGCAGTAATGAAAAGCCTTGCTGAGGATGATGTAAGGGTGTGAAAAACCAATCCAACAGCTACCGGTTGCAGTAAAAAACAAACTAACCCCATAAGCGGCAGTCGGAGCTTCCTGCCCCACAGCCCTAACCTGACAGGAAAATGCCTGAAGCCTGCGAGCTACCACAGGCTGACAACTGAGTGCACTGCAACACGCACACATGGCATAAAGTAGCAGCTCCCTATGTATATCCAACGCAACCTTTGCAATAAGGCGATCTAATTAAGCTGTCAATGCTCCCTCCATTCTTTTGTGCCTTGCTGCTTAAACAGTCAATTGCTGCTTGACTTGCTTAAACAGTCTGATTATATTATATCAGGAGTAATTTTGTTTGCCCCACCTTTCCCACTGCTGTTTCCTAATTTCATAGCTCCATTCATCAGTCATTTTGTCAGCCACAAAAGTGTAAATCGGTCCAGAAGTGGAGATTTTTGTCTGTTGACAATATTGGGAACACGACGATTCTTATCAAAGGGTTTACTGTCCACTGGCCTTCACTGATTAACTTTGCTAAGCTCAGTATTTGCTGCTGCTGGGCAATTTCTTTATGTCTGATAATTTAACCTTTTATGCTTTTCTCCTGTGTCCAGTATGTGCATTTCTTTTACAGCATTTGTGAATTAATTTATTGATGTGTGTGAACTTTTGGTTGTTGACTGGTACACACACTATATTTCTATGATGCTTACGTGTGTTGTGGTGAAGTATTGAGTGTTAGGGGTTTAATTCTGGTTTAGGCAGACAGCCGCCCTCGAAGAGCCGGGGTCTGCTCGACGTTTCTGCCTCTTAAAAGAAAGTATTTCCTTGCCACTGTTGCCAAGTGCTTGCTAATGGTGGGAACTGTTGGGTCTCTGTAAATAAGTTTTATAAGGAGTTCGGTCTAGACCTACTCTATTTGAAAAATAAAACTTTTGTTATTAATTGGCGCTATACGAATAAAAATGTAACTGAATTGAAATGAATTGTTTTGCAACATATTTCACTGTATGGTGTTGCATGTTTTGGGTCTTGTTATGATTTTCTAAAGTATTTCACAATAATATTTTATTGTGATTTCCAACCCATACTGACTTCAGATTTGTCAGCTGTAAATAACATTTTTGTGTGTTACTGTCTGCATCAATGAGTTCTTTACATCTAAAAATCCAACATGTCAAACCTCCCTACACACAAACTGCACACTGCACACTTATGTGCTCAATTCCTTTCCAAAGTGACGAATAACAATATCAGTTTTAATGGGCCTTAATCATAATAATGCAATATCTGTCTCTCACTAAAGTAATACAATCTCTCTAGTGCTTCTTATAAGTGAACCATTTCCAAAAGACTAATTAAAATACTGGTATTGTTATCTCTCCACTGGCTGCGTGCCGAAGTCGTCCTCCAAGTTTTTCGGGCCAGATGGACAATGAGCTGTCCCATGGAGAAAGATGATAAAACCCACATGACTTCCTATGAGACAGTTCAGACTACAGTTGCACAGCCATGGAGCAGACATGGAGCAGATTCAGGGCCAGAATTTGTTTCCGAAAAGACACTGTAAGCACAAGATTGCACAGGAAACACCAGACCTGTGTCACACAGGAGGGACAAATAATCAGAATTGGGACACTTCCAGATGCAGTGTGAATGTAGTCTACCATTTAGAAGCTCTCACCAAAGTTGTTATATGATACCTAGAAGGTTGTGTTAAGTATTATTCCAACTGTTGTATTCCAGACATACAGTATTCCTAACAAGAAAAAATATCCTTAGATTCATTAGTTGTAAGTACCAACCTGTTTATAAATTATTATATATATATATATATAGATATGCCAGAAGGTTGCTTGGTTTGTATTTAATCTATCTTCTAAGTCATTTTTTCTTTAATGATTTTGATAATAGTCAAAGTCAAATGAACAAGGTGTAATATACAGGTGACAAATTAAAGGAAAAACCTGAATTAATGAGCGGATAAATATAACAAATGCAGATGCTTACACTGAATGTTTTAATAAGAATGAAAATGATGAATGAGTCAACTGACCACCTACGGGAGAAAGGAGAGCGTTCCACAGACTAGGAGGTTTGTGTTGGTTTTTACTTTATATTGTCACCCATCTGTACGTCCACCAACGGCTGCGGGTCCTGTCACAAATTGTGCTGAATAGAGCTCTAGTGAAGACAACATTAATATATGCTCTGGGTGAAAGCATTAGTCAAAAGCCCCAAATGTAAAATGTAATTTAATATATTTCAATTTGTTTTTGTGATTATTTGCTCTTTTAGAAGTGTTTGTGCTGGCATTTACAGTAAAAACGTCCGTACACTCTCAATCTGCTAATTACTGTTTGCATTGATCCATAGTCACTGTATTCACACTGTGTAATTCAATTCCAAAGACTGACATAGTGAAAAACAGAGATACACCTGTTTGCATAGATTGCATGAAGCCCAGTAGACAACGTAAACCTAGATTACCAATTGTCTGCTGTCTTTGATATAATCATATCTGTCTGCAACTAACATTTATTTTTCTTATCAGTTCATCTGCAAATTCTATTTTCAATTCATCCATTAAGCTTTCATCTGATAAAATTTCAGACAATAGTGAAAATGTCCATCACAATTTCCCGGAGCTCAAGATAACGATAGAAGAAGATAAAAAAATGTTTGTTTTATCCGACCAACAGTCAAAAACCTAAAGATATTCAATATACAGTGATATGGAAAAGATGCAAATTTGAGGAACTGAAATTAATTTTTCTTTAAAAATAATCAAAATGATTAATCTGTTATCAAAACTATTGATTACTTTTCTGACCATCAACTGATGAGTGACTAACTGCGCCAGTCTCTTTAACCTTTCCAGACCTGCAGTAACATACAGTACGCCATCCCCTACAACAATCCTCTCTTACGGCACTTTCTTACAGTCGCCGCCATCCATGGACCCATCAAACTTTCAGAAGTGTTTAAAATATTTAAGTGCTCAAAGGTTTGTGCCAGAAGAAAAACAAGGAGACTGCTGTGCCCTGAGCACCTGGCGAAACTGTGCCATCCTCATAGATCTAGGTCACATGGCTAACATTCCCTTGGTGGCCACTATCTAAATCGCAGGAATAGCTGCGTTACACACTAACATGAATATGCTGTGACTCTCTCCACTATGGCTGACAGCACACCCCAACACAACCGCAAAATGTTGGTCTCAAAAACTGTTATATAACTGTTTCTATTAAAAACACATCCACAATGCATTTCTAACTTAGAAATAAGGGCAATTTTTGCATCGCTTAAATATTATGTTTGTCATAGCTGTAAAGCAGCTTTTTTTTATGGTACTGGCACAAATGACATGTAGTAACATAAAAATAAAAACACCAATGTACACTATGTACTAATTTATTTTTTGTCCGTTCCAACAGTATCTATTGATTACTGCGAGGGAACACAGTACACACACATTGCTTGCCTGCGGCTCACATTCCTTCTCTCCCCTTTGTGAAAACACACAATTATGTGTCGGTGAGCCTGTGAGTGAGAGAGAGCGAGAAATCTGACAAGTGAGTATGAGCGAAAGAGACAGAGAGAGATGGAAGGGCTGTGTTGTGAGTGTGAAACTGAGAGGTTTTTTTCCTTCCCTTAAGAAAATCCATCTGTCAGGCTGGTGGTCATCACTTTCAACCCCCCACTCCCCCCTTACCCCAATATTAAAAAATGAATCACATTCTTGTAATTACTGCAGAAGAAATTAGATTTTGTTTGTTGGTCCTTCAAAATTGTAATGATACAACACTGACAATGTTAACAGCAAAATGGAACACGTAGTGTAGCCGGTATTATTATAGACGTTATACTAACCCTCATGTATTAAAGCATTACAGCATCACATTAACAAAATGGATAAGTCTGCCGTTGTGCTTTGCCTCCAATAAAATGTATAAATATGTATATTTAGAATTATTTTACGAGCACTAATTTTATCATTTCATATTCTTACATGACGGAATAATTCTTCTACAATGCATTAATTTTGGTCATTCTTACCAAAAACACTGTTATTAAATATCAAGGGAGAACAAAGGGCAGGCATACATGGTGTTTACTGTACAAAACCCTTTAAGCACTGGATTTTCTACTATAAGTTGCATCTCTTTCAAACATTCTCCTCATCCCTGAGGAGCAAGCAATTGTGTGGCTACTTGTGACAAATGCTCTGTATTGATTTTATGGAACACACGTTCAGGGAGTCAAATAACACCGTCCAATGCATCATTGTGTGTGTGTCTGCGTGTGCAATTCACTGGAAATCAAATCCGTCATTATATTTGATTGCATTTTAAGGTAGCCCCTTTATTCTCAACCTACTTATACCTACTTCTATTTCAGAGAGAGATTTTCTTGCGTTTCCCAAAAATCCCCAGGAGAATGTTGTTCTCTGTGCTGCAGTGCATATATGCTGTATAGTTGGCAAGAGTCATAATGATGGAGAGGTAAGTTTGAGAGTGAAGGCAGAACAAAGCCATGGGGAGATAGATGACTATTATAGCAGCATCCTCCACACATCCACAGAATAATCCTCACTAAGCTCCTCTCTCACTGCGGATAGATGGTTTCTTATCAGTGACCATTTAACAGTAGTGAAACAGGAAGTTAAGACACAACACCTGCTTATTTTTCTGTATCTGATACTCTTCATGGGTGCTGGTAAACTCTACCAATTCACTAGCAATCTCTTCAGGTTTGTCAATCTTGTGTCATGTGTGTATTTGCTTGCTTTATCAAAGAATAATTTGCTAAAACAAGCTTTTGGATTGACACGTTTCAGGCCATAGCTGGTTTCAGTTCATCTCAGGGTGGTAATAAAATCATTGCTTTTACTGATGCAAAGTACAAAAATAGTTTTCAAATAGTCCTTGCATGATGTGGCATTTACCACATAAAAATAACGCAACTTTGATAAAAATATAAAAACTAAGTCTTCTCAAGCAAACGTCATGTCTGTGCAAGCTGATTATTGGAATAGAAACCAATGGACTCGAAGCAAAACAAATAGCTGATTCAAAAACCTGCTATTCTTTGGGAAAAGAAGGCAAAAGGTCAGGAATGGCTTTAAGTAACAAGATCTGCACTGGAACTTGTGGAACTATTTCATCTGATATCATTTGAAGCAACACCACTGACACTTCTCCATGTACGCGCATATACACCAAAATGAGAATTACAGATGCATTATTACGTAAATCTGAACTGCAATTATTCTGCACAGACTGTCCAGAATGTCATTTCCTCTTTGGTAGAGGAATGAATCTTCCTGGCTTTACTTTTTTGTGATTTGAGCAGAACTGCAGCTCCCACGCAGTGGTCTGTACTGTTCTGAACCTTCATTAAGAAAACTCTCACCACAACTGCCACCTAATCTCATCTCCTCAGCACCACCTACTTCCACAGCTCTCTTCCATTTCACAACAATATTAGGACAGCGCTCACTCCTCCTTCTTTTACATGCTCTGTCACGGAGGTTGAATAGTTGCATAACAAACCCATTCCCAATTTGCTTCGCTATTATGTTTTAAATTTAATTCGTCCCTGTTTCTCTGGCTCTATTTTTATTGACTCCAGGTTCACCCGGCTAATCCTTTGTCTGTAACAATCTGTTCTGTAAATCAAAAAGACAACCTCTTATCATTCAAAAACTGTTGTTAACCACAAGACAATATGACCCATTTACTCATAGAGGCAGACAGAGATGTAGGCTTTTAGAATTTGTTTACCTATTTATTCATTGAATCATTCAGTCTCTTTATTCCCCTAATGGGGTGTTAAGTGTTTGTCTATTGTTTTGCTCAGGTAGCAATAAATGTTTGATATCTATTAATAATGTATAATCCTAGCATCTTTTTTTGATATTAAGAGTGCTGTTGCAAGACTTTTGTCTAACAGTCAGATTTCATCAGGTGCTCCAGCAACTCTCTTGAAAGATTCACGGTGTAAGTTGCAAAATTATTTTAAAACTAAAGTGTAATAAGAGACCTTCAATGAGCCACATGGGTTAAGCTAATGGCAGTATATGATATGCAAGATGGCAAAAACACAAAGTTTCAGACTGTTGATGCATGAAAGCAGCACTGCGCTGTATCCTTCAGTGAATTTGGATTTTAAAGCTGTGTGGTTATTTTCTCAAATATGGACAACAACAGTATTCAAGTTATAATAACCCAGATGGTCCAGAGGACTGAATTTGCTGCAGGGAAGAAGAAGAGACAGCTCACCTGTAGAAGTAGGAGCAGCCTCGCACTGTGTTGTGGCTGAAATATTCCTGGGTTTTCTCGTTGCCAAAATCCTCCAGAGGATCAGACCACAGCAGGTCACACATGGGCCCAAAAGCCGGAGGCTCCTTGAACCGATCCAACTTAACATAAAGAAGCAGAAATGCAGCATTTATAAAAAACTGCACAAACAGCCAGCGTACACTCAGACCTGGTAGTGCAGAGGCAGCATATTATTACCTTTTTAATGTCATCTAAGGTGTGGATTTCAGGTGAGAGTCCACCATGGACACACAGAAACTGTTGGTTCATGAGTGCAGCCAGGGGAAGGCAGTCAAATGCATCCATACATGAGTCATAGACCTGCTCTGAGTACTTGATTTTACCTGACAGAAGACAGAAATATAATCAGAAACAGTGTTTGTTTTCATATAAAACTAATATGGCATGTTTGTTCCTGTGACTCACTATTGATATAGAAAAACACAAAACTAGTATACTGAAATATTTGCAGGTAGAAATGAAACAGGTAATATGCAAATATAAGAAGTACAAATGAAAGAAATAGTATTTATTATAGAGTATGCACACAGTATGTACTATGATAATAATTAATATATATTTAATGGGACTTGTTATCAGCTTTAAAGTTTCAATTGTCCACAGACATTTTCATCCCCTTTTTCTGTGCTGTCGTACAGAATTAACAGTCCTAACAGACAGGTGCATTAATTGTAATCTCTACCAAAAGTGCTCCAGGCTACACATGACATTAGTAAGACAGAGAGAGGGAAAAAAAATAAAGTAAAAACAATATGTTTAACACTGAGAGCTACTCACATTCTTGTTTGAAGGTGAAATATTCTGTCAAATGTCTACATTCATGATTTCCACGAAGTAAAAATAATGTCTTTGGATAGAGGATTTTCAGCGACCAGAGGTATAAAACACACTATTAAAACAAAGACATAAACAAATAGTTATTTCCTGTAAAAAGCAGCAAAAAAGAATCATCTTTCTGCACTTTGTCCCCCCCCCATGAATAACTTCATGATATTCTGATGGTTTTACCTCAATACTGAAGTAGCCGCGGTCAACGTAGTCCCCCAGGAACAGGTACCGTGTTGTGGCTGGTGATCCTCCCACTTCAAACAGCTTCATAAGATCAAAGAATTGCCCATGGATGTCACCACACACTGGAAAACAACCAAAGGACAGCAAACGTTACAGAATCAAAGAATCAAATTGAATATCTTTGTCTGCATCCTTTTTTGCTTTGCTTTCCCATCCATCCTTTTTGTGTTGAATTCCATTCAGTGAAACGATGATATGCAAGTTTACGTGGATGTGTAACGCCTGCAGAGCAGAGCAGGAGATACATTTCTCCTTTTTATTGGTTCTGAAGGTTCAGAAGACAGAAAACAAGAAGAACATTCTGGCAGGATCTCATGGCAGTACAGAGTAGCGCACTTTGTGTCAGAGGTGTGTATCTTCTTTTTATGCTCAGGTATCTTTATAAATAGACAGACAGGTGGGCAGGCAGCAACGAGATGCTACAGTTTGTGTTCGTCTCAGTATCTCAACATCCTCAATAATTCATATTTGATAAAGGTGATGCTGTTTTGATTGCTGTTTGTAAAGATCCCCTCCAGACATGTATTAAGACATAAGTACAAATAGTCCGCTCATAGCGCTTATATAATTAATGTGTGTTTTGATATGTTTTTTCCATATCATTTCTGCATTAAAATCCTTAAAAAGTCACCTACTCCTTCTAACTCATAATACAAATTCCACAATCTATGAATATGCTATTTTTATTCACTCTAAGGTTTTCCTGCTGGACATGAGACGTCTGCTACTTCACGGTAAAGTCCATTCTCAGTGTATGTTTGAAGTTTCTACATCACACTGTTATAAGTACCAGGAATGACTCCCAAACTATTTGTGATGTCGCAAATCATGCTTGTAATAGAGATGGCACCTTCTGGTCAGTTGGTCGGTCGATATGCAATTGTCCGGACTAATTTTCATCAGTCCAGACAATTGTGTTACTTTAATGGGGAGAAAAGTGCTTCTTAATCCATTATTTATGGACAACAAATGTGTTTTTGTTTTAATTATGGTATGGTTTAATAGACAATAAGACCTATAAGTCAAGAAGTTAAAACATCCCCCTTTTCACAACAAAGCCGCCTGGAGACTGCAGGGCTTTACTTAACTTACTGAACTTTTACTCAGCTCCAAACTATTTGACACAAGAACTGAGTAGATAGAAGTTTATTTTTTAATGTTACTAGTTGTCTGTGGTACAACTTCAAACTTGGAAGCTGTAAGTTTTATGTTGTTTTAGTGTTCATTGTTTTGTTAGGCCAGCCGAACTTTGCTTTAGCAAGCTGTTAAGTGTGTACTGCCTCAGGCTGGGACATTCGGGTCTAATGGTGTAATACTGAGTGACGGTGACTGTTTCTTCATTAGTTTTTTTCTGTAACGCTTTATACTGCCTTAGCTTTGTTGTTGCACGAAAGCTTGTTTTGCTTGCCAGTGTGTATTTGTGTGTATGTGTTGCTGCTGTATGTAAATTAACTTGATAGACATGCCCTGAATGTAAGACTATAACTACAAATGGTCAAACTACAGGAATTCATTGTTTTTGCAATGTTCTGTAACTTTGATTGGCAGCCAGCAGCAACCAGATACTGTACTGTCCTCGATTGAGTTAACCTAGAAATAACGTGCGGATCCCCCTCCCCAACAAACCAATCGATTGGTTGAAGAGAATGTAGAATTTCATTCGACTAAGATTTTCTTTGGTTGACTAAAGCCCTAGCTTGTAGGCCCGCCCCCTAAAAGTCACATTTTCAGTGAGCACACTGGATTTTCCACTTTCAGCATGTAAAAACATCATGTCACACTCTGCACATACATCATTCTGCACAGTGAAGCTCAAACATCCAACTGTAGGAAGAAGAAGAAAAAAATACTTCAGACTGGAGGGGCACTTTAAGATATCAGAAGAGTAAACATGGGCTGTCATTAATAATAAAGTATAATGTTCAATGAAATATAGATGTTATGTAACCATATACAATTGTATAAATAACAATAGCTATATATAAAAACAAGCATATTGTATGCTAGTTTAAAAATGTATTACAGCTCAGGGCATGTCCACATTTCTTCATTATTAATCTGGACTATTGTATGCAACAGACTAACCTCCCCCAGCATAGAAAAGCCAATTAGTTGTGTCAAGTAGAAACAAGATAGACTTCACCTGTAACAGTAAGCTATATGTTATGAAAATAATATTTATGAATATGCATATTCATGCAGAAAGAATATATATTTAATCTGCAATTACAGCCATACTAGCAGTAATAAAACCCCTGAATACTACTGAAAGTACTTTGAGCACTTTAGTTTGAGAGTATAATGGTATAAATTTCTTCCACCCTTAGGTCTTCATCGTGATGAGCTATTTCTATGGTCCTAGGCTGAAAGGCCTCTGTCGTCCACAGAGAAATGAGAAGCTCTCACCTCAAAGAGGTAGAAAAAGCTCAAGCCCCCGGGGAGATACATACTTTTTTGCAGCGAACACTATGGCTCAGGAGCGCAAACCTACATCTCATTTCCTTACTGCCTTCAATTTTTCATTATCATCTTCCTCTGTCTCCTTCTCTCCTACTCATCCTCCATCTCCTCTCTCTTTTCTGTCTCCCCTATCAGCTCCACAGTGGCCTTCGCCCACTCAAAGCTTAGAGCAATGTGAGTGGGAGACTGCTTGTGTGACTAAAGCAATCAAACACACACATGTGCACATACATACACGCACATACACCCATCCATATAAGTAAATCTTCACAAGTGCATAACTGCCTCATAATGTATGACTACACACACACACACACACACACACACACACACACACACACACACACACAGCTGGAAAGACATTCAAACACAACTCAAGCTCACAGAGATATAAAACAGACCTCCACACTTACAAATGCCCGTACACAATACTCATCATCCATATTTCATACTTAATACATAAAGCCTCCATTTTCCTGACGCCAGTCAAGATGAAGAGACTTCTCCTCAAGTCAATGTGCATTTCATCCATTTGTCACTTCTGTTTCGGTTTTAACACTGAACGTGCTTTCAAGGAAGACAATTAAGACAATCACATGTATAGTTAATGTCCCACAGTTTTGGGTAAAGCTGAATGGCCTTGTAATGGTCCATCGAATGTCCACGGTGCAAATTATTCAGGGGTTTTTCAAGGATATGTCAAAGACGAAGATGTAACTTAGATTTGAGCAAAAAATGTGTAAGTGTTAGGACTCTATTTAGACTGCTCTATCCCAAAGTGTCTAGCACCACATAAATATTAAAATTATTTTTAGCAGATGCGCCTTTATTGGATAGCAACAGTTGAGACAGACAAACAAGAAACACTGGAGAGAGAGAGAGAGAGAGAGAGACATGCAACAAAGGTCCGTGGCTGCAATCATATCATAGTGTTACCAATGCATCCCAACCTTATTTTGTCTAGCAGAGGTAAAGGTACAGACACATCAGAAGAAGCTTGTTGTTGAAAGATTTATTATTACTAAATAAAACTGTTTAAAATTGAAAAAAACTAAGAATAAGTAAACTATGACCAGGCCTTTTTTATGCCAACTTTTAGTACTGGACAGTTTTCCAATTTTCTCAAATAAGCATTTCACTTTGTACAAAGAAAACTGAGACTGGACATCCATACCTACTAGCTCTTTTTAGTTTCTCAATTTCCTGGCTAATTTAATAAAAAAAAAAAAAAACCCCATTATTTTAAACAACTTGAGTAAAAAGTCTCTTGATTCATTTCTCATGATGGTAAACTTGAATATACAGGATAAAGTAATTTTGTGTCTGGAAAAGAGGATCCGCTGCCTCTGTCTCTCTCATAAGGTAACACATACACAACAATTCCTACATTCAGGTGTTTACACACTAATGAAAACATACATATGAATATTATATTCCATTTCTGCCAACAGATCCTCCTAAATGTTACACTGGACCTAAAAACCCTGATCCACGCGCTACTGTTGTTTACACTGGTGCCTTTACTCACATTACATGTGCTGAGCACGATATCTTTGAGGTAGAATGCAGTTGAAATAAAAATAAAAACCCAATAGCTTACTTCAGAGTCAAAGCACTGCAGTAGTCTACATTACTGAAAAAGCCTCACCCATAACAGACCAGTTATTTAGTGTCTGATTGGAGAAGACATACAGTCTTTCTGAAATATCGTCGGCCTATTTCACTTGACAAGATAATGACGATTCTACCTGAAAGTGAGTCTCCTGCACCGAGAATTTACATTCCTATTATCTGCCTTTCATTCTTGCTTGTGCTCCAGTCAGGTGCCTTGTTTATTTTTATACTACAGGTACAAACAGCAGCACTGTCTATGCACATCCTCCAACTCCTTATTAAGTCCTACGCCTAACATCAGCATTTTACCTTGTCATTGTGAGCACCTTAGCATGTAGATGTTAGGGTTTAGCTCAAGTACAGCCTCTCAGAGCAGCAAACATGGCTGTATAGCCTCTCAGTGGTTGTCATGGCTAACGTGTTAGCAAACAATTACCTTCTTATATATCCAACAAACATGGAGCGGCATTAGCATTCATTTGGAGCTGTGTTTCTGAACATGAAGGTTCATATTTATTTTACTTTAATCTTTTTAAATATCCCTGTCCCATGCTGACCGTGGCTACTTCAGTATTGAGGCAACGGCTAAATGTTCTACTTTCTTCCCCAGATAGTTGCTAACTTTGCTAAAATGAACACTGAAACATTTGGGCCAAGAAGCTAAGATGGAGCATTTTGGTAAAAGAGGTCACGCTTCCTGACAATATAAGTTATGATGTGGGGTTACACTTATTCTTCTAGGGCTGTTGTAACTTAAACTGTAGCGAAAAAGTCTCTGTATTTATTTCACTTATAAAGTTTAGGCTAATGGTGTCTGCCTCATCGTGCTTGTGAGTGATATACATTTTTACAATGTTTTCCTCAGCTTTAAATGTTAAAATTAGAGAGATAACCTGAACATTTAGCAAACATGGTAAACTACTCTATTTAATAATGTAAGCATATCATCAAACAATGTTAGGTGTGGTCTGGTCTATGTATTACGCCCTTCTCCCTATCAACTATCCAAAAATGCCAAAAAAGAAGAACAAACAAACAGTAGCACAATGTCACACACCCACAGACCAGACTCTCTATCCTTATTGATATAAATGGGGTAGAGAAAATATCACTAACGCCTCTCACTATAATGCAATATAACAAAAACTGAACATTATAAACTTCAGTAAGATTTATTACAGGGCTCCTGTAGCAGGCTGCATTAATATTAGCAAGGTGCGAGATAAGTTTCCTTTAGTGTGTCACATTTGGTGATACAAGACTTTTAAAAGCCAATGTTTTGCCTACTGTAAGACGTGAAAAACAGGCAGGCCAAAGAAACTGAAGCAGCCGGTAGCAGTGGTGAGACTGATTGTCTGTAATTCAAGCCTCATGTCATATTATATCTAACCAGATCAAATATCTTTAACCACAATGCTAAGTCATTACAATTTCCTGGGGTGGCTTCCTGCAGCTGGCTGTAAGTGCTGCAGGAAGAGCGGCAGGTAAATACTGTATCTCTAACAGGTTTAATACCTGTGACTGGTGCCTCGATGTCCAGTATAGTTTTCTCCTGACGCAGGATAGCTGCTCCCTCGTTGACGATCCGAAGCGCCACGGCTTCCTCTACGCGGCCCTCCTTGGTGAGGTGGGCCTTCAGGAGATCCACGCGAGGTTTCCCTTCGCAGTCAAACACTTCCTTCAATGTAAGGCGGTGGCTCAAGGGGAAGGGGACAGCTGAGGACAGAGCACAGGCACATGGTGACATTTAAACAGTGGGGACATCGCAGTAACTATGGCTACTGTTAAGGCCATCAAGGATACAATTCTTGACTCGATTCTTGTGTTTCTGCACTGTTGTGAGAGAACAGTGCCAAACACCACTCAGGAATGATAGAGACAACATATCATCAAGGTATTCATGCAGAAATCCTATTTGTGAAATCCCCATCCATGTTTCGCCTGTAGGCATTACTGTGCTTTCTGCTACATCCAACCATCCATCTTTGTTGATTTACGGTATATGTACATCTTTGGCATGCAAACCATGTTGATAAACATGGCTTTGCTTAATATGCAGAGGGACATGACAGTATGAGAAAGAATTTGCAGCTTTACATTTTTCTTCACAGATGTTTATCTTTACAAATTAGCTTTTTCCCCCTGATGTGCATGCCCTTATTTCAGCAGTGTGTTTTCAATGTGTTGCATATGTATTATATTGTGTTATAGTGTTATATTCCTATACGTTAGTAATACATAATATACTGTATGTCTTACTTGAAATATAATTAAATTCTATATAATGAATTACACTGAATATTGAATTATTGATTGAAGAGTGTGAAATGCAGAAAATAAAAGCCTCTTATATCCCTGCTAATATTGTGAACTTTTAATGTGTAAACGGCAGCAGACAAGATCGGTAACTGAAGGAGACTGCCACACAAAAATCCCAAAGTCAGTTAATAACAGTTTTTCCAGTACAGATGTGTGGTTACTTGCTAAGTATTTTCTGAGTGCTGGATAACACTCAGCTAACATCTAAGCACTCTGTTCATCCAGCACTCTCCCTGGATTGCTAAAGCCTGTGGCCATTAAAATGCACCAGTCACCTACCCAGCAGACCGTCTGTGAAACTGTGAAATCCAACCACAGATCATTACTTCAGTGGCAGCAAAGGTTATTCATTAGATCTGGTGCTGATCTCTGTGTGCTGTCACTGCAAGCTTTCATGGCCCCATGCATTGAAATTAATCTACAGATCATCTGGATTAACACGGAAAACTCAAGTGTAGGAGCTGTGAAGAATTCAGATGAAAAGACAAAAATAAGTCACATGAAGTCCAGTTGCAAAATTCACTAGAAAAGCAATGCACGATCACATCGCAAACGCAGCAGTGGGAGTAAAGGATTTCCACATTCATATATTTACGTCAAACAGAGTCGTATTTTTGTATACCGTAATCACTTATTCAATGTACAAAATCAAACACAGCCCTGATGTTGTGTGACCAACAGGTGCCTGCTGGGTCTGGCTAACTGCTAACTGCTAAAATCATTAGGCTAACATGCTCATATTGGTGGATCCTCCTGCGCTGACTTGTATGTTTGCTTTGGGTCGTTTACCTTAAGTGAGGTGAAGCCTTTCTGCATTTTTTGATCGTTCTAGGCCAATTCAGTTGATCACTTTTTGAATTTGAGAAGCGCAGTGGGACCAGCGGGGCTGAGTGGACTGTTTATATTATGCGCTGGAAATGAATGAGCAGAGAAGTTGGACCTAGAGCCGATTGAGGGGGACGACACTGGAGAGTGATGTTCAGACAGGTGTGTACAACAACACACTCACAGATAGTTGTAACTCCCTGTAGAGAGGACGTAATGTGTGTGTGTGTGTGTGTGTGTGTGTGTGTGTGTGTGTGTGTGTGTGCTACATGGTGTTTATCTCTTTTTGCTTCAATGTGTGTGTTTATGAGCTGCAGCTGCTGACTGGATAAAGGATATCTGGTTATTGTTTACAGTCCAATTACCAACTTGAGATGCAAATATGGATGCATATATGGAAATATGTAACCCAAAATGGACAAACCACACACTGACTATGGATTGAGCCTTTCATGTTTTTCTCGTGTTTTCCCAGGTCGTCAAATACAGACACGAGCGGTACTCAGTTTGTTGCAATCTGCAACTTCACAGCTAGATGACACTAAATCCTACACACTGGTCCTGTAAATTGTAGTTCTGTGATTAGATTTCGCCCAATTCGTGCTCTCCACACGGACTGTTTACGCACGCACACACACACACACACACACACACACACACACACACACACACACACTATATCTGTATATATATATATATATATATATCTGTTTATAGAGACTAATATACTCTTTATCTGTATGTGTTAGCTGCCTTGTTCATTATTCTGCTGTTTAAGTAGCTAAAGTAAGCTGTTGACGTATTGGGGTTCATAGGTCTTTTTATTTATTGTTGGTCATTTTTGTGTAGTTGTCTGAGTTTTTCTCACTTTTCTGGCTACACTGAAGGAGGCTATTTTGTGTGTATATATATTATAATTGATAGCTTAATGCACAAGCTGCTAGTTTTAACGCACTTTATTTTGTAGACTAAAGGTGTTTTTTAATTCAATAGTTGTATCACATAACATTACATCATATGCAAGGCCATAAAAATGTAATGCAGTAATATTTATTCTGACTATGTTTTCACTGACCTACTTTACATTTTCTCTTTTACTTGAGTAAAATATCTTAGTACTCTTTCCATCCCTGCACATATGTACACATAACACAAGCTGTCAGCAGTAGTATATTCAGGAGTAAGGGTATGCTTGCCAGATCTGTGCAGTGCATGGCAAACAGGGCCACTCAGCAGTGCCAAATGAAGAGACGACAAAGGAAGAGTCTCAAAGCTTAGGCTTAAACTGAACATGATCAACATGCTCTTTAATTATGAATGCTTGACTAGAGAAATCTCAAAGTCGCTGCTCCTGGGATAATGAGGCGAGCCCCAGCGAGTGAATTTAATGGGACTCAAATTTTTCACAGTGTGCAGTGTGTATCTGTGATGGCGATGTGTACTCTAACACTTTACCAGCTAGTACAAACTCAGCACAGTCACCACTCAAGCTTTAGTTTAGTTAATGTCATTGTGCACTGATGAATTTCCTGGATGTTTTTTGCAATTTGCATTACATACATGTAAAAAGATAATTGTGATGCACAAACCTGAGTTACTCTTTTGACTGATTTTACTTTTTGACACACACTACTCACATTTTTTCCAACTGCTGGCAGCTTTTTAACAGTAACAGTAAAATGAACTGAAATGGACCCACATGCAGATGCTTTGAAAAGGACATTACACTTAAGCTTATTTTTAAGCAGAATAGAGCAACAAAGGATTTAGCTCACTAATAACAAAGAAATCCCCCAAAAAGCAACCCAGATACTTCACAAATGATCTTCAGCAACATATTTCAGAGACACACACATGTGTAGATGCAGACATACAGTACAAGCACACTGATATAGATGTGTGGTGAGATGAAATGAGATGAAAAGCTGACTTCTGCTCAGCACCCGAGCAGAGTTGAACTATGAAATACTGTATGTTGCCGGGCAACAGCAGCAGCAGCAGCAGCAGCAGCTAACTGTTGGAGTACAGCCAGCGCCGCCACGGAAAACTGCAATTTGCATTGGAGGTTCACATAGATGCTGTTGGAAATGCTTTCTTCAGTCTCAACTCATCAAGTGAAAATTTTCCAATCATGTTGAGTATGAGCTTGTACTGTACACGTTTTTATGCCAAAACATGTTTTCCTGAGAATGGTTTCTCCATTCTGCAAGCTTCAAAGAAAATTAAGTGTATGGTAGGTTTGTGTTGCTAATGAGCAACCCCAGGTTCAGTCAGGAAACGCTGAATGGCTTCATCTGATTGGACTAACTAGACAGTAAGAGGTCCAATTAACATGCACAGACCCAAGTGTCATGCATTTAACATAATGTCATGAGAGTCTTGTTGCTTTTTTCACCCACACCCTACAGCTCTACCAGCTGAGATCTGCTTTATGTGTGGTTTAAAGGTTTTATGTTCCCCTTGACTGATGTTAAAAATGTAGATAAAAGCAGATCTTTTTAGCCAAACCCAACTATTGCTCCATCGTAACCATAATAAAATATTAATGTCATCTTAAGTGTTGAACCAATATGCTACTGAATGCTGGAGTGGATGTTTAAGCCTGTCACTGGGCCTGTTTACTTTAAAGCTGACATATTAAGTCTCATATCGTTGCATAATTATTTATTCAAAGAAACGTTTTTTAATAACTTCAAACAATGGATGAAACAGTTACAGATTAACATACTGCATTTCTTTCAGAATACAGCGACTGCATCAGTCTCTGAAATCAGGACAAATATCAAAGTCAGTAATTGGAAGAAAATTAGGTGCTACAATAAAGTAAGATAGTTCACAGGTGTACTAAAGGCCTCATCCCTGAAATAACTGACCTGAATAGGCCTCTTGATGCCCACAGCAGCAGTGGTGACAGTGCTGTGGAAAACAAACTGCACAGACCAGCAGTTATTTTATCTCTTAAGATATGTTCTGTCAGGTTAAAACATATAAGAGAAAAGAGAACCGGTGAGAAACTTTCTGAGGTTTAAGTTAGAAATATGTATAGGGATAAAAATAACTCGGAGTAGCTTGTAGTGTCAGTCCGTGGTAGTTTGCTACATGCAGCACCACACGCGATAACTGTAAGGACTGTCAGTCTCAACTCATCAAAATCCCCATTGTCCTGATAGCTTCCTTTGATCACCTGAATGATGCATGATTCGAGAATTGGGGGAGCAGATAAAAGTGACAAAAGGAACGTTCAAATGTTAGCCAAGCAATTTCTAACCTTTATAGCATAAATCATTTGTGATACAACAATAATAGCATCTGACCAACAAGACAAATGAAGATTTTGGTGGAATAATGATTTATTTTTGTAAAAAAAAAAAAAAGTTAATTGGGACTGGATAAGATATAATAGGGAGACAAAGATAAAGCTATTTAGCAAGTTTCTAAATTACACAGCCTGAAGCTACTAGAATATAAAAAATGACACAAAAACATATGATTTTACTCAACCAGAAAAGAAATGCTTTGATTGTTTCACACCCCAAATCCTAAATGTTACATGACCATGTTACAAAAGCAGAAAACTGAGTCAGAATTCTTGGCTGTGCTTCATTTGCTCATACAAACCTTTTGTTTGACATATTTTTGAGTGCCTGGATGTCAGTAAACACTTTTCCAAAGAAGTAACCACAGTAGTTTTATCTTGGTTGTGAGATCTTGCTCAAAAATAGGCTACAACAACAAACAACATTTTAGCCCAACTTCTTTCTCTTGTTATAGACTTTATGGTTGACAAATGGATATACTGCCCTAGTAAAACAATGAGCTGTATCATGTGCTAACAGGGTGAATGTAATGAGATGTGTCAGCAGTTTGGACAGTGTGTTATTTGATACACTTCAAAATCAGTCTATGATAGGAAACTCTTTGCTGTCTGATGAAGCGCTCCACCAAAAACCTGTCTGAAAAAAAGATAGTTAAGGTCCCTTAGGGGGAACCAGGCTCATTTTCTGACAATATAGTTCCTTAAATTCCTAAATAAAGCTTTGTCAGTTGAAGCAGTGCATACATACAAACATTGGTCGTGCCTGCAGTCATTATCACATGAGTGCATCTCACAGTGCAGATTACTCCGTGTTTCTACAACTCTGTAGCCTAAAGGACAAAGTTGTTAATGCTGACTGAGCTGCTCGGCCATCACGTTAATATACTGAATGTGAATATATTCAGGCACTGTGAGCTGATCCATGGTCAAAATGAGCCGGACTAAATGAGTTAGGGCACAACTGTGAGCACTTCATCATCCTCCATTGATCCAAGTTGTATTCTCAGTAATTCTCTGACAGAGCAGCCTTCTCTACATCTAGTGATGGAGCTTTTTGCGATGCCTTATAGACCTTTTCTAATCAAATTAAAACATGACTCACTCCTGGTGAAATATACCCCCATTAAATGTCAATTTCATGCCCTCTTCCTCTTTCCATTGGCCCTGTCAAAGCCTGTGAAATCCTGCTGCATCACTGCCCCAGCTTCTACCACAAGCTCGGCAATTCAGCTGTTTTTTTTTTTTTTACCCCCCAGTCTCTCCTCTCATGCCGAAGAGAAGATACAGTCATATCGTGACAGCAAAGACTAAAATATAAATACAGTTGTGCAATAAAAAAAAATTAAAAAATGAAAAACCCATATTTTCCCAGTGCACTGCTGCTGCTTCTAAGCTTTCTGCCCGCTCTCCGTGGGGGCTGTGCAGCAAAGAAACCCGGATTGTTTATCAACATCAAAGCAGCCCACTACCATCAGCGTGAGCACAACTTGATGGCCGCATACACACCATCAATGCACGACATGAAAATAAAAAAAAGGCCATATTCTGCCCAAGGAGCTGAACACTTGAGACGTTATGTAATATCTACAGCGGTAACCACGCGCAAAATGTAGGCTAACTTACATTTCACCATCCGATCGGTGGCGTTTAAGGCGATGTCAGCGTTAGACATCTTCATGGGCAGTTGCTGTCTTCGTGGCTGAAGCGTTTTTCTCTCTCCCTTCCTTTTGGGGTCTACTCTCAGTATTTGTTGCTGAAATGCGACTGGTGCTGTGGCATCACTTAGATGATGCGCCCCCTCCGTGCGTTGGTGCTGCGCCGGGTAGGACTGCTGCTCCCCAGGCAGAGAGGCGGGCGGGCGGGCGGGCAGGGATGGATGCTGGATGCTGTAGGAGCCGCTGATGCTGCTGCTGTGCTAAGCTGTTAATGTGGGGGAGGATGCACGGAGAGAGAGAGAGAGAGAGGAAGAGAGAGAGAGGGGGGAGAGAGAGAGAGAGAGAGAGAGAGAGAGAGAGATGTGCACTATCCCGACATGGCGGTGAAGGGAACTCCCACGCAAATGTTTCACGGGACTGCCTGATGCTGCCATCAGATGGAGGCTGAGACGGGGTTGCCCCCACGCACGCACGGAGCGCCATGTTTTGGTATTCTCGAAATTTCGGTACGCCCGCCTGGAGACGGGAGAGGGTGTGGGCCTCGGCTCGAACATGTGTAACATTCATGACGAGAGAGACAGGTTGGGGGTTTTTTGATAACGCGCGCGCACGTGCACGCGAGCATCAAGGGTTCGGGCTTTTGGGTTATTGCAATGATGGCAGAGGAATTTCACTTGGTGGCGACACAACATCAGGGGTTTGTGCAGGCGGACACTGGCAATCTATCACACGGTGTGTTCAGGAATTATGGGTTTTTTTTTTAGCGATTCAGGGATCTAATCTAATTTTGTTTTTGTGTCACAGGAAAGGTTTATTGATTACTTTGGCCACATCAAAATACTTGATACAAAACACTTGAATTTATATGATTCAGCATTTATTAATTAAATCTATGGGCTGAATGGTGTTTCAGTGACCTCCATTGGAAGAAAATTAAGAAATATGAATCCACAAATATTTATCTACATCTACAACACCAAATGCTGCGGAATTGATATAGCAGTTGTAATCCCTGTGTGTGGACTGCAAGGCAAACACCTTACTGGTCTCACGTCACTCCCCGTTCAGCCAACCATGAGACAGACACAGCTCTGTAGCTTGTTCATTATTCTCAGCCAGTGATCCCAATCTAAATATTTAATCTAGGGGAACTTCAGCACAAACTGCAGCCATAACCTTTCATTTATTTTATTTTAATTAATGGATACTGTGGTAATATGGTCTAAATTGCCAGAAACAAGTCACAGCGAGAATTCAAGGATTTATAACACAGCTCAAAACCTGAAACAATATTCAGTCCAACATTTATTTTAAATTTTGAGTGCCGATGTTTTCACTGACAGAATCCACAGATTGTAATGTAAGGCCTATCTGTAAATATACGCAGAGAGCAGAGCCCTGTGCAGTTTTTACAGACCATCAATAGAGGCAGGTTTACTCTGCTCTAGCCCTACTATTATTTAATGTTTATACAGCCTCTTGTCTTTATAGTCAACCCTTAAAACATACAATATATATATATTTTTTTTTAAAGTATATTTTTGGGCTTTTATTGCCTTTATGATAGAGATAGCTGAAGATAGACAGGAAAGGGGGGCAGAGAGAGGGGATGACATGCAGCAAAGGGCCGTATGTCGGATTCGAAACCTGGGCCGGTGCAGCAAGGACTCAGCCTCGGTACATGGGTCGCCAGCTCTACACACTGAGCTAACCGGGCGCCCCAAACATGCAATATATTAACATTGATACAACAACAATATACTTTAAATATCAAAATATATAAAGAAACAAAACCAAAAAAGAAAACCTTGGACCAAGAAGTGTCTTCTTTCCCTAATCACCAATAGTCCAGCCGGTGAAATCGATGTGCTTCCTCCATTTAACACTTTTCTGTCTACAGTAAATGTTTCAAATCGTTTGTGGAGTCAGAGGTTAAAATGTAAAGAGAATTCAAAAACTGCTGGCTTATCTTTCCGTGCATTTATCTCAGCTTTAATGACTTATAATTCAAGTTTTAATTGCCTTATTTTCTCATATAAATAATAATAACTGAAAGAATTAACTGCATTGCTTATTACCTGACTGAATCACAGGATTACTTATTGAGTTGTATTTATTGATCACTGAGTTGCTGTTGTAGTTGCATTCACCAGCACCTCTTCCGTCATTAGATTTATCTCTACTATCAGCAACAGTCATGACAACTGGTCTGAAACACGAGAATGACTCGTTTCAGTGCTTCTGATGCTCGGTGGCTTTTCATCTTCATTATTGCTCCTGTCAATTAGAGCTTTGCTCACACTGCTTTCTTCTTGCTTCCCCCCTGTTCTTAGTTTTCCTCAGCAGCCATGTGATGTAGGAATTTTTGCTCATGTTGTGTTAAAATAAAGGAGCCTGACCTATTTAAGTCAGTGCTTAAACACACATGTGACACAGTGACACAAGGATCACACACTGTTGTCCTTAAGAGATGTAGACATCACACGTTTGGACAAACTCACATGCAGAAAATTACAGATATTAGTACTGGAATCAGTTTGGCACTAATTCTGTGTGCTTCAGAATGATGCATTGGTGGCTTTTTGGAGCAATGTGATGTTGGCCTACATCAAAACTGTGTCCAGATCTCAGCAGAATAAACCCAAGCAAACAGATACCAATGTTGCACACTGCTGGGAGGTACACACTGTTAATGCAGAATGATGCAAACCAGCACCAGATGTTTGAGTCCGAGAAACACACAAAATAAAATAAAAAGCTTACTAAAAAGTATAATTATAGTGGATAGGGTACTCAATGTTGGACTGATTTTGCTTGAATACTGTTGACTTTCTGATTCATTTTACTGCCCTTCATATTTTGGGTGATGTTCAGACTACAAATATGTATCTTGAATGCATTGATATTTTCATGAAAACTAGGATTCACACCTTTTGTTGAATCTAACCAGAAGTGAATATTGCTCATGTTGTCTGTAGATTTATAACATTTTTAATCATGAGTGTTGATGTATGAAAAAACACTTTTAACAGGGGGAAAAAATGGAAGACACCTCTGGAAGAAGTCACCCCAGAGGAGGGATCCCTCACCCAGGACATAATTTATAGCCAAACCTTGGTGACCAGCTCGTCATGAACAGGCAAAAGCTCCTTCCAAAATAAGAACATCTCTAAAAGACAGGATGTGAGAGGAGCATTACACTATCCTACTTTATAAGCCCTTAATGCTGCTTGAGAAATCAGTTTTTTTAGTGATTTCTCAGACAGCTTCTATGCATGTAGACTTGCCACTAGATGGGGCCCTAACCCTGATTTTAAGCGCAACAACAGCAACAGCTGGTCGGCTGGTACTGCTACAGGAGGGGCAGTGTTTGCTTCTTAACGTTTAGAGACATGATAATTTGAGAAAGCAGTGACACTACTTATTTAGTGGTACAAGCTAAATAGCTGTTGATGTCATTTTGTCATGCTTTTTTGTCCACATACTGTCAGTCAAGACAATAGAATCACTTGCTTCCTGACAGATGAGGCTGAGCATGTGATTAGTGGCAGGGTGAGTAATAAATCTGTAGTAATGGAGCCAGTGTTGCTCATCAGGCAGTAGGTTTCTGCAGCATGGAGCTGTGAGGCTCACACAAGGCGTGACTGACTTAGGCCTGTTCAGTGAGATGGGAAAACACACCACAAAATCTCTAACACTTTAGAGACTCAATTGATAGCAGAGTGTCCAATACCCGTCCTAGGTGTGCGTGGAATGTCCTTGAAGTTGCCAATATTGCTAGGAGAGATAAACCAGAGAGTGCTGATGAAAGTGGAGGGAAACTACACTGGATTTTGTGTTGGTCCCCCATTCTCAGTTCAGTATTGAGACCAAAATGAACCATATTCTTGAGCCATATTTTATTTTGTGTAATACACAGAAATTACTAACTGCCAAGTCCAATTTAGTGCCTTAAAAGCCTCGCTTTGAAATGACATGTTCTTGGAAGTGACTGACTGTCACATGTGCAGAGGCAAAGTGTGCAAACCAAATTTTAAATGAGATTTGTTGAAAAAAAAAAATCTGGTTCTCAAGTGAGGAGTATTTCTGTAGTGGCAATGACCTGTTGGCAGCTTCATTTGTTGACCCCTCCTTTAAATACTGTTGTTGCTGGCATGCTGTGCTGGCACAAGGCTAGGAGAAAATGGCACGAAGAAATGGCCTATTCCAACATTATTTGCTGAAGCTTATCCAGCTGCACGTTCCCACATAATTAACTCACAGTTACTTACTCGCAGTCACGTCAACAGCGCAAGCCATTAATTAAATCACAAGCCATGTTGTATGTGATTCAATTACATCAGAAGCAAAATGTCTTGGCTCGTAATAGTAATAATACACATACATATTGAGCATGAATACATGAATCTGTCTTTTTATCTCATAGCCCATTGTCCATGTCATGCCATGAGGGTTTCTTGAAATTACCTCTTTATTTCCTCACTTCTAGATGAGCTAATATGGATTTAGTTGAGATAGAAATAGTTTGTTTTATTCCAACTGACTTCAATTGTATGTGCTGCATAATGGCAGAAATGCACTGGGTTCTGCAGCATAAGAATCTCATTACCCTGAAGGCCACAATCCAAAATATTTCTACAACTGTAGTACAACCATAAATACACAAATAATGTAGCAAGAGGAAAAGAAATAGTTGAATCTTTGGGAAATACGCTTATTCACTTCCTTGTCAAGAATTAGATGAGAGGATTTATACTCTCATATCTGCATTAAATATGGAGCCAGAGCCTGGAGGCATTTAGCTTAGCTTAGCATGGAAGCAGGAAGAAATGAGAAGAGGAAAAGGGGAGCCGACCTGGCTCACTCTAAAGCTCAGAAATACGCCTTCCTTATTAATTAACACATTGAATCTTGTTTGTTTAATCGGTGCAGAAACAGAAATGTAAAAACAAGACGTTGTGGTTTTACGTGTTGGAACTATTTCTCTCTGGGCAGTGACTTCCTGGAGGTTGTGAAAAGAAACAGCAACTGGAACACGCTGCTCCAACAGCTGGGAAATCTTGGTGACAGATGATCGCTGGTATTCTATGGGAAGTGACATCACCTGGCACCAACGACCAGCCAACGGGAGAGGGCCAGAAACCTTGTTTGTTGCCAGTAGAATGTATTGTTGCACACACATGTCTGGGATAACATGGGTTCATTCTGTAAATGTCATTTTATTATTAATAATTTGATTACACAGTAATTTCCCTGGAGTCAAAGTATTCAGCCACAAGACAACAAATGGTATAAATCGTAAATTGTAATGATAGATAGATACATACTGTGGGAACGGCCTGATTATGTTTACTGATGCAGATATGGGTTTGAGGTTAAGAAATTCATGTCTCTGTGTTTGTGCTTCTGAACAATGAGAGACGAAAGAA